TACTCCTTCAAATTATAATGCCCAAAAATGATAGTTAGATGTATGATAGATGTACATAGGGTCTTCAAATGATGACAAAATAATATATTTTTGGCAACAACGATAACATGAAAAAAAGATAATAGTATTTTTAGAACCGAAAAAGATAGTAGTAAGAGAATGAAGTATGTTAAAAATTAGCGTTTTAGTTATAATACCAATTGCTAAGAGATGATTATCATACATATCATCAATTCTCCATCACTCTTCAAGATTACGCAAAACATTTTCCTCAAACTTTCTACTTTGTAATTGATCTATGAAAAAAAAAAATTTGAACCTTTTGTCCCACTAGTTTTTTTTCGTTAGTCCGATCCTTGCTTTGTCTTGCAACCAACTTTACTTTTCATTGTGAACTCCTTTTTCCATATGCATTCAATCATTTAAAGTTCATCTGATGCCTCTCAATCCTTTCGTTAGTTCAACTACATCATGATAGATAATAGTCATGCTCCAAAATAGAATTTTCTTCACCTTGTGATGTGAGACAAACATCTCTTTCTTGAGGAGATGTATAAGAATTGTTTCAATTTTATTTGGGGTAAAAAAAACGCATGTAACTAAAGATTGATGTAACCATTTTAGAAAAATATTAAACATTAAACATTTAACAATTTGAATCAATCACAAAAACTAAATAACAAAATATAAGAGCTATTATGAGTCTTAGATGTAAGTAAGAGTCTATGTATATTAGATTATTAGTACAATATATTAATGTTAGATTGACGTTTTTTTGTGTTGAAAGTTTTAATTTGAGTCTATATATATTAGATTATTAGTACAATATTCCCTCCGTTTCATATTAAGTGTCGTTTTAGCCTTTGATTTTTTTTAAAAAAAATAAGTGTCGTTTTGTGTTTTCAATGCAGATGTTTGGTCTAATTTCCAGTTTTGTCCCTACTAATTTAATGTATTGACCAATGAAAAAATAATAAAATATATATATAATGGGTAAAACAGAAAAATTTAATTATTTTCTTAATATGTGTGCAAAAACCTTAAATGATACTTATTATGAAACAGATGGAGTATATTAATGTTAGATTGACGTTTCTTTTTGTGTTGGAAGTTTTAGTTTACCATTGGAAATTATGAAACTTCAATGCCCAAGTTAATGCTAATTTTAATGTCCATTATAGTTGGTCATTTAGTATTTTTTAGTCCATGTCTCTTTATATTGTTGAGTCATTAAATAATTTTGACTACGTTTTATAAAAGTTGGAGGAGAAGTGTATATGCGTGTCTCAAATTATATTAATTGGGTAGTTTATGGTTTCCATTAAATTTGATAACTATGAAAAAATTAACGTTGGTCATTTAGTAGTCTTTGTTAGTTCATGTCTCTTTATATTGTAGAGTCATTAAGTAATTTTGACTACGTTTTATAAGAATAAAAAAAGTTAATTGGGTAGAAGTGTATTTGCCTGTCTCAAATTATATTAATTGGGTAGTTTATGATTTTCATTAAATTTGATAACAATGAAAAAATTAATATTATGTAAAAAAATTAATTTTTAATTATGTTACTTAATTTTAACTATAGAATGAGAAGATAAAATAAGGAAAAATCTAGGAAAAAGATAACTTCAAAGTATAAATGTTTTCTTTTCAGTAAAATAAAAATTTAGTTGGGATTTTAATTTGAAATGTGCAGATTACATAGTTAATGTAGTTAATCAATCATATGTGAGTCAACCATATGTTATAAATCGTGTGATTAGTCACATGAGAAAGAAAGTTATTGCTAATAAGTTATTAAAACCACAAACCAATTTAATGCTATTAATTGAAAAAGCGTTTAGGCCCAATCAAACGAAAACATCACAACATCACAACGTGTTTGGTGAAAGCAGGAAATGCAGGGACCGTGTGAATTCATTAAGGATCTTTCAAAGGAGGTGACAAATGCGAATACGAATTTGTAGGTCTTGAATAAGAGCTCACAGGTTCCCCACGTGGAGAGGATGATTGGATGTGTGGCACCGGAGGATGGGTGGAGTAAGATGAACACTGATAGAGCGTCCCAAGGGAATCCGGGGCTAGCCACGGCGAGTGGAGTGCTGCGGAATAGTGATGGAAAGTGGTGCGGGGGTTTCGCCTTGAACATTGGGAGATGCTCCGCTCCGCTAGCCGAGCTATGGGGAGTGTATTATGGGCTTTATACGGCGTGGGAGCACCGCGTTACACGGTTAGTATTGGAAGTGGATTCGAGTTTGGTGGTTGGTTTTCTTACGACAGGGATTGGGGATTCTCATCCGTTGTCTATCCTGGTACGCTTGTGCTACGGCTTCATTGCAAGGGATTGGATTGTCCGGGTTACTCATGTGTATAGGAAGGCTAACCGTCTTGCCGACGGGTTAGCTAACTATGTGTTTTCTTTGCCTCTTGGTTTTCATGATTTTGTTTCGGTTCCGGTTGTTGTTGATTCATTTTTGAGAGACGATGTTGTTGGAACTACGCTTCTACAACGGATTCGGATGTAATATATATATATATATATATATATATATATATATATATATGTAAAAATGAATTGTCAAGTAACCCAATAAAAAGAAAGTGAACATTTTAAACTATTTAATTTACACTTTATATAACCATTTTCCAATTATAATTAAAATAGACCAAATTAACACTCATGTATTAAAAATTTGTGGGCTATATAAACAGTATAAGTCAAATTTCTTGAAATATTATGTTCAACTATTTAATTTACTCTTTATATAAAATTTCAAAATTATAATTAAAAATAAATTAATCAAAATAAATGTTCAACAACTCAAACTTAATAATTATTAGTATGGGGGTTACAAATTTGAAAATACGTAAAATAATTTTACTGTAAATTATTATAAGAAATTCATTTTCTGATTTTCCACAATAATGGTGTCACATAAGATTTTTGGTTTTATTGTGGTAAATTAATATGAATAATTAAACACTTTGATAATAATAAAGATTATATTTTCTATATTATATTGGTATTAAAAAGTTGGGAGACTCACAAAAATGCCCATTTTTCAATACTCCTTTTCAAAAATGCCCCATTTGGCTGTCCATTTTTAAAAATATCCCTTTTTATGTACAAAATGACTAAATTACCCTTCTTTTAATAAAAGATATCACAAATATATAAGGAAATATAACAAAATTAGGTCCACAAAATACAAAATATTTTTTGGCGGGAAAAGTGATCCCGCAATTTTTCCCGCCAAAACACTTGTAAAAGCTTGTAAAACCTTTAAAATACCTTGTAAAATTTTCCCGTAAAATTTTTTCCCGCCAAAATATTTTTTTTGCGGGAAAAGTGATTCCGCAATTTTTTTGGCGTTAAATTTTTGGAGGGAAAAATTTACAAAGTATTTTAAAGGTTTTTTACAGGGTATTTATAAGGTTTTACAATGTATTTTAAAAGGTTTTACAACGTATTTATAAGGTATTTATAAGATATTATAAGATTTTGCAAGCTATTTTATAAGGTTTTACAAATTATAAGGTTTTACAAGTTATAAATACCTTATAAAACCTTATACAAGGTATTTTAAAGGTTTTTACAAGTGTTTTGGCGGGAAAATTGCGGGATCACTTTTTCCGCCAAAAAATATTTTGTATTTTGTGGACCTAATTTTGTTTCAAATAAGGGTAAATGGTCATTAAAAATTAAAAGAGGGCAAACTTAAAAATGGACTCTCAAAGGGGGCATTTTTGAAAAGGAGTATTGAAAAAGGGGCATTTTTAACAATTTCTCTAAGAAGTATGGAGGAAAAGAATCAAAACTTAAAATATTGGAAAATAAAGTAATGGAGATATATTTATTGATTTAAATAAAAAGAAAAATTAGTTATGGTATATTAATGTGGATAATTAAAAGATGGAAAATATGACACATGTCAAGCATTTGAAGTGTTAAATGTAAAAAATTTAGAGCAAGTTTAGAATAAACTTTGTCATATTATATAAGATATATATATATATATATAACAAGTTTTGTTACCATGTGGAACTAATTTGGTTATGCAAATTCAATTGAAATTGAAGACTCAACGGGCCAAGGCCCATTTTTATATATTTAAAGCCCAACCTAATTGTTTGTTCTTATTTCAATGTTGACACGTAACATGACATGCAAGCAAAGCATCGACTCGTTTTCTATGTTTTAGAAGTATCTTCATTCGCCATTTTAAGTGAAGAATTATTTGTCAATCAATATAAAAAAAAAAATTGGGGTTTACTACGGGTCACCCATCTTCATAAATTATTCAAAAAGATGTATATGATTGTTTGTTATTTGAGTTAGAAAAGAAATATCGTTTTCGATTATTTTACAGATAAAATCAATTTCAATAAAAAAATCGATGATTTACATAAAATAAAAAAATATACGGTATGTTTCGTAATATTTTAGATTTTGGATAGTAATTTAAATATTTTATAACGAAAACTATAATGTATTTACTTAATAATAATTTTACACTACCTAGTTTGAAATTAATAAAATTGGAATTGCTATTCATCATATCCAAAATAAAAGTTAACTAGTTTGATCTCAAAAAGAACAGCAGATAAAACAAAAAAATTGGGGATGGGAGGGTAAGGCGAGGAAACGGTTAACCGCAGACACTAGCTAGTTTCAACAGAACCACCTACGAACCAAACCCAACCTATTGGTCTACATTTTGGAGACGAGTCTCTTATGTAATCATCGACGTTTTTTAATTATTTTTCGGGGGAAACGCCGGCCAAAACCCCCAATATTAATTCTCATCGTTAAACATGAGAGGGTTCAGGGTTTAGTAATCAATAAGCAGACTCATCTCCTAGGTTCCCACACCCCTTAAAGTTTTTAACCAAAGTCTTCTCTATTTAAACAACTCAACTTCAATCTCTATCTTCCGATGTGGGACAAAGTAGCATTTTATTGTAACTATATTCGTCACGGGTGACGTCACAATTCTTTCTTATAAATGTCAAAGAAGAAGAAGCTAACGAAAGCAAAAAGAGTGATAATAATGGCGGAGAGATCAGATTCAGAGGAAGTGAAGCTTCTGGGAATGTGGGCGAGTCCTTTTAGTCGTAGGATTGAGATTGCTCTTACGCTTAAAGGTGTTTCTTACGAATTCTCAGAGGAAGATATCACTAACAAGAGCTCTTTGTTGCTTCAATTGAATCCGGTTTATAAGATGATTCCGGTTCTTGTTCATACTGGTAAACCGATTTCTGAATCACTTGTGATTCTTGAATATATTGATGAGACTTGGAGAGACAATCCGATTCTGCCTCAAGATCCGTATGAGAAAGCTATGGCTCGATTCTGGGCTAAATTTGTTGATGAACAGGTATGATTTTCAATTTCAGTAAACCGGTTTTGAATTTTTAAACCGGGTTTTTAAAACCGGTTATTGGGGAGTTTCAGATTTATGTGACGGCGATGAAAGTGGTGGGGAAGATCGGAGAAGAGAGAGATGCGGTGGTTGAAGCGACGAGAGATTTGTTGATGTTTTTGGAGAAAGAGCTTGTTGGGAAAGATTTTTTTGGAGGGAGAAGTTTGGGGTTTGTAGATATTGTGGCCACGTTGGTGGCGTTTTGGCTGATGAGGACGGAGGAGATCGTCGGAGTTAAGGTTGTTCCGGTGGAGAAGTTCCCGGAGATACATAGATGGGTTAAGAATTTGTTGGGAAATGATGTTATCAAGAAATGTATTCCTCCTGAAGATGAGCATCTCCAGTACATCAGAGCTCGTATGGAGAAGCTCAATATCAAATCTGCTTGATAAGGATTATAGAAGTTCTAATAATCAAAGTATGTCTCTTTTGTTTCAATTGCTAAGTTATGTGAGATCATTAAGCTGAAAGTTCTTATATTTCAGACAAATAGTTGGGAAGTGTGTGGTTGTTGTATTATTGTGTGTAAGAGATGTGAATAAGAGATGTTGTTGTTAGTTCTTGTATTGTGTGAGACTTTTCTTAGAAACTTGTCTGAAAATCTGAAAGTTTGGCAATAAGATTGTGTTGAGACTTGAGATGTGAATGAGATTAGTATTTGGACTTCATGTCCCTTTGTTCTTGTTTCAATTGCCAAGTCCTATGGGATCATTAAGCTCACAAGTCTCAAATTTCAGACAAGTAGTTTGGAACTTTAAGCTTCTTGTTGTATATGGTATTGTCTGAAGAGAGAGATGTCATTGTAAGTTCTTGTTGTGTGTGAGATATTTTCTTAGAAATTTGTCTGAAATCTGAAAGTTTAGCAATTAGAATGTGAATGAAGAAGATCTGCTGTATAATTTTTTGTAAGAGATGTGAATCAGAGATGTCTTTGTCAGTTCTTTTGTTGTTGTGACACTTCCCTTAGAAATTTGTCTGAAAATCTGAAAGTTTAGCAATTAGAATGTGTTGAGACTTGAGGTGTGAATGAGGAGTTAGTGTGTCGTTTCATGTCCCTTTGTTCTTGTTACAATTGCTAAGTCTTATGGTCTATGGATCATTAAGGTCAAAGTTCTCAAATGTCAGACAAAAAGTTGGGAAAATATTGTATGTAGAGATGTGAATCAGAGATGGGAGATGTCATTGTTAGTTCTTTTGTTGTGTGAGACTTTTCTTAGAAATTTTTCTGAAATCTGAGAATTAAGTAATTAGAATGTGAATGAGGAAAGCTGTTGTATCATTGTCTGTAAGAGATGTGAATCAGAGATGTCTTTGTCATTTCTTAATTTCTTGTGTTGTGTGGGACTTATCTTAAAAAAATTTCTGAAAATCTGAAAATTTAGCAATTAGAATGTGTTGAGCTTGAGATGTGAATGAGGAAGGCATGAAATTAATGTGTTCTTGTTTAAACTACTAAGTCCTGTGGGTTCATTAAGCTCACAGTTCCCAAATTTCAGACAAATAGTTGGGAACTCTGAGCTTCTTATTGTAATGTCATTGTCAGTTTTTGTTGTATCTGGTTTTGTCGATGGAGATGTCATTGTCAGTTCTTGTGTTTTGTCTTTAGGATTTGTCTGAAATCTAAAAGATTTGCAATTTTGAGATGTGAATGAGGAAGGCCAGAGATAAGTCTGTGACTATGTACATGTTTTCTATATTCAAATAGGAAAATTTAATCTTGTTCTATCAAAAGATGTTCTTAAGCAACAATACAAAAGAAACTCTCTGCTTTTAGCTACTCTGATTCAACCTGAACAGTTACATGATAAATCCCACAAGATTTCCTACAGAAATTTCTAACACCAATAATGATCTCTTTAGGACTAGCTCCAGGCTCTGGTAAGATATGACACGATAATACGATTCTCCCAACTGTTATCTCCCATACATGGAGATCATAAACAATCTTAACTCCATCGATTCGCTTAAGTCCTCTTTCGAGCTTCTCTATGTCCATATCACGCGGTACGCGTTCCATCAGTATTCCAAATATGTTCTTGAGCATTGGTAAAGTAGCAGCAAGAGCAAAAGCAGAGAAAACAAGAGTACAAATCAAATCAACCAAAACCCATTTCGGTTTCACCCAAATGATACCTCCACCGATCATAACACCAAGTGACTGAATCATATCAGCCATTGCGTGAAGATAAGCTCCTTGTATGTTAATGTTCATCTCCTTTGACGATGATTTCTCACCTTTTAAAGGATTCATTTCCTCATCCTCCTCTTCAGCCACCACCTCCTTGTGATGATGTTGATGATGATGATGTTGATGGTGGTGGTGGTGGTGGTGGTGGCTATGGTTATGTCCTAACCAAAGGACCATAACCAAGTTCATGAAAAATCCGAAAGCCGAAATCCCAAACATGATTTCACCATTAACCTCTCTGCTTCTGCTAACTAGTCTTTGAATGGCTTCATGGATTATAACTCCAGAGACAAGCCATATAAGCTGAACAGACAAGAACGCCGCTAAAACTTCAAGCCGTTTAAACCCAAACGAGTTTCTCGGATTAGCTTCCCAGCTCGAGACCTTGATAGCCAACAAAGAGACACCCAAACCCGCCACATCCGACAACAAATGCGCAGCATCCGTCATAACCGCAAGACTATTTGCCTTAAAACCTCCCACAATCTGTACAGACATAACAATCAGGTAAAGAAAGATAAGGCTGCTTAGTCTTCTAATCGATTCTTCGCGTTCTTTCGTCTCGGAAACGCAATGTTCTTGTCTCGTAAACGCGCAAGACAGAGGAACCACGCCTAAAATTTCCTCTGTTTTTGATGGTGATGGTGACTCCATTTCTTCGTCATCATCGGGTTTCAAAATGCGGATTTGCTCCAATTCCATAAGCTGTTTATACGTTACAAAATCTTTCATTAGAGAGCTAAAACAACATTTTGATCTTCTTTCTTTTGGATTTTATATGATTAAAGATTTGAATAAAACCCATTTATTGTGTTAAGAAACAAACCTGAGAATCAGATGGAGAGGCAAAACGTATATGAATTCCAGAACTGTCTTCTTCAGAAATCTTGAATTTTTTCATTATTTTTTATGTTATGGTTAGAGATATAAAGACATGAACACAGGCAATTAAGGATGATCCAGCAAATATGGGAGGAGATGTTTATAGATGTGGAATTTTCTTTTTTGTATGGGAATCTAAAATAAGTCGTTGTGGCTTGTGACGGGTGAAGAAGAATAATCTTTTTCTTTAATAAGGAGAATGTAGGAAAAAGAAATAAATATAAAGATTTTGTTTGGTGATTCTTTTGTTGTGTATGAGATTTGTATGATTGTATTTTATTTTTTTTTTTTTTTAAATAACCGCGGGTCTCTCAAAGGCTTCCTAGGCCCAAGGACTAATCCCACGAAACTGGCAATTTCCCTATGTAAACCTGCCAGTGACCGTGCCTCGAACCCTGGTGGCGGAAATCACAGCTGTGACCCCTTTACCAATAGGCCACAAAGCCCGGTTTTTGTATGATTGTATTACCATTCAAAGGTGGCGTTTGCGTTTCAGGCGAACAAAATGGACTGACTCTTCTTTGTTCAAAATAAGGATTCATTCAACTAATTTTCTTGGATCTTTAGCGTGTTGTTTTTTCGTCTCTTTGTTTTCTTTCATTATATAAATCAATTATGAACTTAAACCAATATTATTTTAAAATTAGGTTATGATCGTTAGGTTATGTAATTATTCCATGTTGATATAGTTGTTTTTACTTGTTTATTTTTTGCTAAAGTTTATTTACTGTTTTTTTTTTAATGATATATCAAAATACATAGTTATTAGTTAGCATTTAGCAGGTAAGAACGGGAATTGGTGATTTCTAACAAAAGAATGGTATTGCATACATGCACATATATGTTAATTTGACATCTACCAGATAGTGAATCTATTAGCTATCAGCCTATCACCTATCAAACACTAATAAATCATGTTTGTTTCGTAGTTGTTGATGGTAACAATATGTTTCAGTGACTAATTGCTAATCCAAAATTTAAATCGTTGAAATTTTAAGCGTTTTAATTTATTAGTCGCTAATTAAGATTTATCTAATCTATCACTTAACTACAAAAACGATTAACAATTGATAGTTATTAATGGTTGCTGATCATTATCGACGACTATTAAACAAACAACAAAACATATCGTTGATCGCTATTCCCGATCATTACTACACAAATCGTTATTACTGATCACTGTTACTGGTCGCGGTGGCGTAATAGAAGCTAGAACTAGGGCTGTAAACGGAGCGGATATCCGGTTTTTTTAGGATATCTGTATCCGTATCCGTATCCGTATTATCCGCCAATTTGGTATCCGTATCCGGATCCGGAATTCCGGATATCCGTAGACATGCAAAAAAAAAAATCATTTTTTCATATAAAAATACTGTATTTTCGTATAAAATACCGTATTTTCGTATAAAAATACCATATTTTCGTATAAAAATACCGTATTTTCGTATAAAAATACCGTAGTTCGTATAAAAATACAAAATAACCGGATATCTGTTATCCGTTTTTAAAATTAACATTATCCGTATCCGTATCCGTATCCAGAATATCCGTTATTTTATTATCCATATCCGTATCCGTTTTCCCGGATATCCGTTATGGATACGGATATCCGCGGATACCGAATAATAATCTCAGGCCTAGCTAAAACTAGTTTTCTACCGTTTGGAAATTTGCATATAGGAATCTTCTAGAAGAAAGCCCATATACAAGGCCCATTAGGTTGATTTCACTACGTAATAATAAAGAAATATAACTTTTTTGTCAAACAAAGAAATATAACTAAAAATAAAAATGAACCAATCAATCAAAATTGACTAATCTCAGAGCACACCAGTCTTCAGGTCTCTCTCCTCCTCGCGGCTCCAACGCCAAAGCAAAAAGCTTCACGATTGAAAATCTCCGTTCGTTTTCCACCTCTATTAGATCGGAGATGGCGGAGAAGCCGGCGCAAGAGCAGGAGCAAAAGCGAGCGATGGAACCGGGTGTTCTGGACGATATCATTCGTCGTTTGGTTGAGTTTCGGAACACGAGACCTGGATCGGGGAAACAAGTTCATCTCAGTGAAGGTGAAATTCGTCAGCTTTGTGCTGTCTCCAAAGAAATCTTTCTTCAACAACCCAATCTGCTTGAATTGGAAGCTCCCATCAAGATCTGCGGTCAGATTTTTGCTCCCTTTGGTTTTAAAATAGTGGTTTTTTTTTTTTTTGTAGTGGTGAATTTAGTGCATGTTGTGATAAAGTATCAAGATTTGTTTAGTAGTAATGAATTGAATTCTTAAAAATATGTTTATCTTGAAAATCCATGAGCTCTTTGTAAGCTGTAGGTAGGTCACACTTTAGGTTGTAAGTTTGAGCATTAAGTGACTGAAGAAATGTGAGATTTTGATTGTCTTTTGAGTTCAGAACAATGAAATTAAGCGAATGGGTGGTATAAAGTGGGAATTTTTATTACTAAAAGTCTAAGGATTAAGAGTTTTGACTGGTTCTATGAGGTTTGATTCTTTTATCTTAATGTTGACTAGTCAAGTTATGTGTTTTCATTGGGTCTGAGAAAACATTTCCTGCAAAAGCTTAATGTTGACTAGTATCTTATATGCCATGTTTTCTTAGATGTAATGGTTATTTTTTGTCTTTTACTTTATAGGTGATATTCATGGGCAGTATTCAGATCTATTGAGGCTGTTTGAGTATGGAGGCTTTCCTCCCGAAGCCAATTATTTGTTCTTAGGTGATTATGTTGACCGTGGCAAGCAAAGCTTGGAAACAATATGCCTTCTCCTAGCTTACAAAATCAAGTACCCGGAGAACTTCTTCTTGTTGAGAGGGAATCATGAATCTGCATCCATTAATCGTATTTACGGTTTTTATGACGAGTGCAAACGCAGGTTCAATGTCAGACTCTGGAAAATATTCACTGATTGCTTTAACTGTCTTCCTGTGGCCGCCTTAATTGATGACAGAATACTATGTATGCATGGTGGGATTTCCCCAGAGTTGACAAGTTTGGACCAGATTAGAAATATTGCACGTCCAATGGATATTCCAGACTCTGGTTTGGTATGTGATTTACTGTGGTCGGATCCTAGTGGAGACGTCAAAGGCTGGGGCATGAACGATCGCGGTGTTTCATACACTTTTGGAGCTGACAAAGTCGCAGAGTTTTTGGAAAAAAATGACATGGACCTTATCTGTCGTGCCCACCAGGTTTTTACTCGAGTTATATCTGTCATTGAGTTTATTATGAACACTGTGCAACCTTAATCTGAGTGTTTTGACTCTATTATTTTAGGTTGTTGAAGATGGGTATGAGTTCTTTGCAGACAGACAGCTTGTTACAGTATTTTCAGCTCCCAACTATTGCGGGGAATTTGACAACGCTGGCGCAATGATGAGCATTGATGAGAGCTTAATGTGCTCATTCCAAATTCTAAAACCGTCAGAAAAGAGGTCGCCTTTTCAATGACAACCATTATCCAGTGACCACCATGCTTCAAATTAACAATTCTCGAAAAGGTAAAAAACTTCTTTTTATGTTATGGTAGCCCTGGTTCTTCATTTTCTGCTTTAGGTATAACTTGTACACCGTATTTAGCTCTTAGTGGAGTCCATATATTATCTTCAGAAAATTGTGATGGAAAACATAAATAACCTTTAAGCTATCCTGCTTTTTATGTGTTGTAATCACAGAAATGAGTAGTAGCTTATTTTGTAAGGTTCAGTATCATACAATAGATATAAAAAGTCTAGGCAAATTCGTAGTTCCCATCATTTGAGGTTTTTTCTCTTCATCTCTTACATTTCTGTGTAGTTCTTGTTAGTTATAATTTATCATCAAAGACTAAGATTTATGTTCATCACCCTGAGAATTGATTACTGTAATCTGTGTAGATCTGAATGTTCTTTTGTGGCTCAGCTTTTGGCATTTTGATAATTTGCTACAGCTACTTGCGAGAGGAACTAGAGACGGAAACTGCTCAATTGGGACGTTAAGGGTACTGATAAATAGTGCATTAGACATGTAGCTGTTGACAGAGAAGGTCTCAAACAGAAGAACAACTCAAAGTCTCTTCTGGTTTTATCATCATCTCTCACATCTATCTTTGTCAAAAATGTGTGTGTTTTTATTAGTCTTGTCTCTGAAATAATATTAGATTCTCATTTGTACTCTCTATTTATTTATAAAAAGTTAAAAACCCAAATTCAAAACTTTACTTTTTTTTAGTCTCTTCACCACCATATTCACCACCATAAAGATATCATCATGGGGTGCCAATTGTCACATGTAAAACTATATGGTGCTAACGAGATTAAAAAAAAAAACACAAAACAACACTCTTTGTGAAACGAGATTAAAACCTTAAAGCGACATTTTTTGTGAAACGGGAGTATCAAATTAATAGGGACAATAATGAAACATGTGTGTGCACGTGTGATGGAGAGGACAGAGAAGAATAAAAGAGTGGTCTCAGAAACAGCCAAATCAGATTCCTCTTTGTCACACACAGTTTTGGCTTCTCGCTCTCTCTTTCTCTCACACACACTCTGCATATCTCCGCCGCAGAGATCCATCGTGTTTTCAATTTCTGGTAACCATGGATTCTCTCGTTGAATCTGGTTGGAAGGTACTTTCTCCATCTCCGTATTGCTTGCTTCATCTCCTACCTTTGTTTGCCAGATTTTTTTTTGGTTTTGTTTGGTGTTTTCAGAGATTTCATCGTGTTTTACTTCTCCGTCTCTGCCGACTTCATTGTACTGCATTTATGATACAAGTATAGGTACTGGAGCCGTGTTAGGTTGGTTTTGTTTGTGGTCCATCGCATTGGATTGTTGTGGTCCCTTTTGTGTTGAGATTGGTTTGGTTTCGTGTCGATTTCTTTGTGGTTTCAGATCTGGATTTTGACTGTTTTAGTTCCAGATTATTAGTTATTACGAATGTGATCTCAGTTTTTTTTTTGGAATTTGAGTGGATTTAGGTATTGTTGTTGGACCTTAACGATTAGTTGATTAGACCACACGAACGGATTTTGATTAGTGATTGTAAGCAAAGTAGCTAATTAAATGATTACTGTTTTGGATTTTTGCTTTGTGGATTTTAGTGTTTGTTTAGCATATAACAATGCTGATGTAGAATGTGACTTTTTTTCTGAGCTCAGAGGATTGTTATACATGCTGATAAGCAATAGGTCTTCCTTGAGTGTCTTCTTAACTCGCTTTTCATTGATGAGTGACTGTTGATGGGGATGGTGTTTTATTCCATTGCCTTCAGATTGATATTTCGTTGAATTAAACATTTTTCTTCTCTTTCCCTTAAGCCAATCTTTGGCAATCTTGTTTGGCTCTTAGCTAGAAAGTTGTAGCTCTGTTACTGACACCTTATTGTTGGTGATGATGCAGTACCTTGTTACACATTTCAGCGACTTTCAACTGGCGTGCATTGGGAGTTTTATCCTTCATGAAAGTGTGTTTTTCTTGTCTGGACTCCCTTACATTTTCCTAGAAAGGACCGGTTTTCTCAGCAGTTACAAAATTCAGGTTTGTCTCTTCTTATCATGATTCTAGGGTCTTCTATCTAATAGCTTTGTGTGTCTGTTAATATATATACTGAATGAAAAGAGATCACCAAGTAATCAGCACCTGAAACCTTTAGTGATAAAAAGTATATGTTCTCAATTCTCCATGGATAATGTATTGTGATAACTGGTTTAGCTTCTTTTTTATATTAAACAACTACTCTTGTTTGGTCTTCTGCAGACAAAAAATAATACTCCTGAAGCCCAAGGAAAATGCATTGCTCGACTATTGCTTTACCATTTCTGCGTAAACTTGCCCCTCATGATGGCGTCTTATCCTGTTTTCAGATTCATGGGCATGCAGAGCAGTTTTCCTTTGCCGTCCTGGTATTATCAGGTTCTTTAGTGCTGGAAGCTTTTTTTTGCCTTTGGGTTCTGATGTTAAACTCTTCCAATGGGCAATATATATAAAAAGAAATATATAAAATGTCAGTGTTGAGCTGCATGAGAAGAACCTGAATTATGTTTGATCTAGTTTATGATATCATATTTGGTGATGCTCTTGCAGGAAAGTGGTGTCTGCCCAGATCTTATTCTACTTCATCATTGAGGATTTTGTATTTTATTGGGGTCACAGGATCTTGCATACTAAATGGCTGTACAAGAACGTGCACAGTGTGCATCATGAGTAAGCTTCAGTACTCACCATCTTTTTTTTTTTGTGCTTGACGATATTAATCCATCACGGTCCTCAATAAACAATCTTATGGTATTACTTATTTACAGATACGCCACACCGTTTGGTTTGACATCAGAATATGCTCACCCCGCTGAGATTCTGTTCCTGGGTTTTGCTACCATTGTTGGTCCGGCTCTCACCGGGCCTCACCTGATCACCCTCTGGTTATGGATGATGCTCAGAGTTATTGAGACAGTTGAGGCACATTGTGGTTATCATTTCCCATGGAGCCCCTCGAATTTTCTTCCTCTGTACGGCGGGTAAGATCAAACATCTACTTGTAGCCTTCTTGAAGGAACACACGCACCTAAAATCTATCAGATCATTAACATGAATGATTGTACAATAATTTGCTTGCAGTGCTGACTTCCATGACTATCATCATCGATTACTCTACACAAAGTCTGGGAACTACTCATCAACGTTTGTCTACATGGACTGGTGAATATCTCAACTTCTTTTCTTACTTTAACGAAGTCGTAACTATAAACATGTAAATTTGTTTCTCTATGTTACTTCAGGATCTTTGGTACCGACAAAGGTTACAGAAAACTGAAGGCACTAAAAGAAACGTGAAATTCGATTTCTCGAGAGAGAGGTCTTGTTTTCAAAAACTCTTCTTTCTTCTGTTTTGTCTCTACAATTTCCTCAACTTTCGTCATAAGAACAACATTATTTGCAACAATTTGTGTTTGTACAATCGAAGCTGCTAGTCTTAACTCGATTCGATGTTGAATCTTTTAAGTGCCCATTGTTTCTATTTGATTATTACTAGTGCTTACTGGTTTTCTTATTCTTTAGACACTGCTTAGAACATATGATCTAATCTCTTGTCTTTGCCTTGCGTCAGTGAGTAAGTACCTCTTCAAGTACTTCATTTTTCTTTTAGGAAAAATCTGACAAAAAATTTTAAAAGCAATGTCGACCTTCTTGTAATTTGATTTGACTTGATTTGGTAATCATTACACGAAATACGATTAGGGTTGAGAAGAAAACAACTAATCATTTCTATCAAGTATTGATTAACCTTGTTCTGGTTTCCACAAAATCGGGTTAATTTGTTATTGTATACAACCACGTACGTATTCCAAGAACCACCAAAAAGTAAAACTGAAAAAGAGAGATGTCTTGGTCTTCGATTAGTGTCCATTGACGTATCCTTTTCTTCTGAGATCAATCACTACGACACTGACGTTGTCACTACTGTGCCTTGCCAACGCCAGCTTCGTCAGCAATACAGACGCTTCCGTACATGCCTTGTCCGAGATCGTCGGATCCTCACTACCTTCCTGTTTCTGCCCACCACGAAGACACATACGCGCTACGGAGCAGGCAGTCTCGTTTGACACCACATCCCATAACCCGTCGCTAGCTAGTATGAGACAGTCGTCGTCTGTCCTGTCCGTTATGGTTACCTCCGGCTCGCAACTCACGTAAGGTTTCAAATAGTTGTCTCCTATTGCTCGTGACATTGCTAAGACCCCTAAAACTCTCGGACAGTCCCAGTATATGACTCGTCCACCAGCTCCTTCGATTCGATCCAATTCGTCTGGACGATCAGGCTGTGTTTCATTACAAAGAACACAATCTCCCGAGTTAATCCACAATTCCAATTATTACTTAAATCGAAACTTAACATGTTTTGAGTGAAACTGACCTTGTGATCGGTTGATAAAGGGACCGGTTTTCCATTTCGGCAGAGAACTGCTCTAGAATCACCGCAATTGGCGACAACGATCTTATCCGGCGTGATGACCGAGACAACGGCGGTTGATCCAACGGAATCACAAGCAGGTGATTGTAGATCACACTTGCAATTTGCACTCACGACAGATTCACCCCACGACACAACTTCCTTATCCATGCGCGTAAAGCTACGCTCCATAGTCGTTTTCCATTCTTCTTCCTCTTCCCCGTCTGAGCTTAGTTCTTCTTGCACCAGCTTGTGAAGCCTCTCTCTACACCTTGCTGCAACCTAAGGAAAAAACAAACGATGACACGATGTCGTATAAGCTAAAACTGAAAATATAGAATTTTGTAAAACGTGAGGTTGCATGAAAACGACTTCGTACGTGGGAACAACCATGACCGTCGTACACACCAAAGTAGTGTTGAGGATACTCCGAGTTCTTCCGAGAAGAAAACGAAGGATGAATCGCCACCGCATCTTCCATTTCTCTTCTTCTACCGCAAACAGAAGATACACCGTATCTTGGAGACTCGCCGGACACTTCGACATTACCTCTTACCGTTTCCGTTTTAAGTAATCTACTCCCAGAGAAATCATCCTGAGATCTTCGAGAAATAGAAGAACACCTTGTAGCTAAACCCTCTTGTTTACTGCGCTTACAATTCTTCTCCCAATCTTCACTCATCACCGTCTGAAACCTCTGTCTCCGCCGTGAATGTGGCGGCGTTGATCCATAAACCGACGACGGAGATGCGTCTGTCACCACTTCGTAACATATATCCGCCATATCCGGGCAAAAATAAACCTAAAACTCCGGTCTCTTCAAATGGATTTTGCTTTGTATTTCAAGAAGAACAAAACTCTTTATCCGATGTTTCAAGAACTGTTGAATCTTGTTTAGGTTACTTCAGTAGTTAATAAAAACTCATATAAACAATTCGATTAGAGAAATAATGTCATTACACGTTACTTGCATTCTCTATTTTATACACAAATCCTGCCTCTTCAGAAACAATTTTTAAATTCTCTTTGCTAATAAATAATAATCCACGTAAGCGTCAGTAACGAGTGCGAGATTCGTGGTCCAATCAAATTGACACAGCAGAGATCATAGGAAGTTCCCTTCGCGCCACGATTGCTTTTCCTCGCAAGGTAGGAGGTTTTGTTTTCTTTATTTAAATAACTTGAGGAATTTCATTACGTTAGTTTTCATATTTGATTACATGATCAATAACCTAAGTTTAGATATAAACTAATGTTTACTTTCAAAACCTAACAAGGTTAGTGCTGATAATTTATGTTTTGTCACTAGTCAGCAGACACGTTATCGAAGAAAATCTTAATATATATGACAGATAAACTTATATCTAATTTTTTTTTTTTTATTATTGTCTTGAGATTCCAGAGAATCATTATTATATGAATGACAGTAATCAGCTATGTTGTGATGGCAGTATGAACAATTATAAAACAAATTTATTATTTGCAAAAGCATTTGTGTCCACATCTCGTCGAATTTTATTTATATATGCACGAGATACAAATTTAAGCTTCACGCAATCTGGATTCTCATCGTCCAAATACCCAAGAAATTATATAACTTGTATAGATTGAAACACAAATAACATAAAATTTAAGCATATATATACGTGTTTAAGAAAAAGAGAAGCCGTTAATAGTGAAACCTCCATCAACGCAAATGGTTTGACCAGTAATATAAGAAGCTGCAGGAAGACATAGAAATGCTACAAGCGATGATACTTCATTTGCCTCTCCAACACGTCTCATTGGTGTCACACTCTCCACCTTTTCTTTTACATCTTTATCACCAAGAAACTGAAAACATTTCACATAAACTTCGTAAGAAAGAGTTAAATCATTTTCCCATAGTAGAAATGGAGTTTATTTTTTTCTTTTTCTTACATCTTTACTTGATGGAGTTGTGATGAACCACGGACAAACAGAGTTAGCCCTTATGTTATCACTCGCCCACTCGCATGCCAAATTTCTAGCCAGTTGATTCATGGCTCCTAGAATGCGCGTATACATTTAATTAAGTCTCAATAGAAGCAAAGAATCATCAATTGTTTGAGTATGCGTATATGTATACCTTTGGTTGCTCCATAGATTGATGTATTACCCAAACTTACAACCCCAGCAACGGAAGACATGAGCACAATGTTCCCTGAACCAGAGGCTTTCAATAAAGGGTGCGCGAGTTGCGAGAGATGGAAAGTTGACTCCAGATTTGTAGCTATTATAAAAGAGAATTCTTCTGATGTACACTCTGTGGTCGGCTTTACCACACCCGTTCCCACATTGGGTACCTATATACACCCAAACAAACATGATTTGGTCATTGTGTATCCAAGCTCTGAGGAGAAGGAGAAGCATATATATATATACACACTTGACACTTACGAGGATGTAGAGTTTTCCTTGGAAGAGAGAGGAAACAGTTTCCATGAGTTTCACTCGCTGGTCACGAGAAGAAACATCGCAAACAGAAGTGGTGACTTGTAACCCTTTGGCTTGCCATTCACGTAAGCGTTCTTGAAGCTGAGTTTCGTCTCTGGCACATGTGTGAACTCTTGCTCCAAACATGGCTAGTTCCTCCACCACAGCTTCTCTATTTATACATCAATATGAGTTTATACATATCATTAAGCCCTTAAACTTTTCAGGGGTTGGGTTGGTTAAACATATATACAAATACTATCAAAAGATCCAAATAAATCTAAGATTGACATCATAAGATCTCAGTTTGAGTACTGAACTAGAATGGAAGTAGATAAGGTAGAAGAATTGGGACTGACCCGATGCCTTTGGAGCCACCGGTAACAAGAGCAGTCATGCCTTCAAGACTCCATCTAGATTTGTCTCTCAAGCTTTCCCCTCTCTTTGCCATTTTTTGTTATCAGCCACAGAGAAGATATCTATTCATATGGAGATTTTTATTTCTATTTCTGTGTATATAAATTTATAGACCGTTCGTCCATACTAGACCAAGACCACACGCAACGATCCAAATGTGTAGGAAATGCTTTTTTTTTTTTTTTTTTGGTTCACAATATTTAGAAAATAGATGGTTGGACCACTCCAACCTGTCGAGTACTTTAATAATGAGCCTAAGGTTACCCAACTACATTGGATCAGCTCAAGTTTTCCATACAAATGTCGAGGACTCTGATACATGCCCCAGTCGCTCACTTGAATACAAACAAACATGAAACGTCAACACGACTAATTTGCATACGCGGAAGCTAGTTCCACCAACATCAACACATCACGTCTTAACTTCCTAAGATACAAATTCATCTCTCCCGTTTGGTGGGTGGTTGGGACTGCTTTAACATAACTGCCTTAATTTATTACTTATGGTTCAATTCAATGTCTAGAGAATTTAAGAAGATTGGTGGATAAATATCAATCAACGCCAACTTTTTTGTTTGTTTGTGTAACTGTGTTTATGTTTACATGTGTATAAACAAGTTCACAAAAAAAAAAACACTCTACGTTGATTAATTATCCAAGAAACTTCGGTTAAGAAACTAAAATTGTGAGTTTAATTAGATAGAATACACTCAAAATGTTAAAAACAGAAACACTCTACGTCTTAATTAGGCAGAGGCTTAAAAGAGAAACCATTAACAGTGAAACCTCCATCAACGCAAATGGTTTGACCTGTTATATAAGAAGCTGCAGGAAGACATAGAAATGCAACAAGCGATGATACTTCATTTACTTCTCCAACACGTCCCATCGGTGGCCTACTCTCCACTTCTCTTCTAAACTCTTCATTACTAAGAACCTGAGAGATTTTTCACTTGTAAATTAAAATTGAGAAGTAACAATATACATAACTTTTAATTCTCTTATTTATTGCCTTACTTCGGTAACTAAAGGAGTTTCTATGAACCATGGACACACAGAGTTAGTCCTTATGTTGTCACTTGCCCACTCGCATGCTAAGTTTCTTCCTAGCTGATTCATAGCTCCTAAAAATACACTTACATTTCGTAACTCTCAGAACCCGATGCATCATTAATTGTTTGAATATAGATACATGAAGATATACCTTTAGATAATCCATAGATGGATGCACCATTGACATGTACAACTCCAGAGACGGAGGAGATTAGCACGATGCTCCCTGAACCCGAAGCTTTCAACAAAGGATGCGCGAGCTGTGAGAGATGAAAAGCTGACTCGAGATTTGTAGCCATCGTAAATGAGAAATCTTCCGCTCTATGTTTTAAGGTCGGTTTGGCTATACACGTTCCCACATTGTTTACCTTATATATTGATCCAAACCGAAAACTTAAGAAAACACAACATAATCGTTTCCTATATGGATCAAAGTTTAGTTATGTACTTACAAGTATATTGAGTTTTCCTTCAAAGATAGTGGAAACAGTTTCCATAAGTTTCTCTCGTTGGCCACGAGAAGAAACGTCGGAAACAGAAGTGGTAACCTGAAACCCTTTTGCTTGCCAGTTACGTAAGCTTTCTTGAAGCTTAGTTTCGTCTCTGGCACATGTGTGGACTCTTGCTCCTAACATAGCTAGTTCCTCCACCACAGCTTCTCTATTCATAGGTCATAGCACACATCTAGATTACCAAGCTATTCTTTTTTCCGGGGATATGTGCTGATTAAACAGCGAAATAAAATCAAAGTTCCATATAAATCTATTATTGATGAGAGCTCAGATTCAATATTGATCTAGTAAGAAAGTAGGTACTAGGTAATGTAGGAGAAATTGGACTGACCCGATGCCTTTGGAGCCACCGGTAACAAGAGCGGTCATGCCTACAAGACTCCATCTAGGTTTGTCTCTCAAGCTTTCCATGTCTTAGCCATTTTTGGAATATGAACCACAGAGCTAAAGATATTTTCTTGGAGATCTGAATGTTTGGATAAGAAAAAGTCATAATGAATGATTGATAATGTCCGTTTGTACATACTAGGCCACATAACGATGTACGTGTAAGGAAGGCATTTTCATGTTTTTTGTTAGCTTAATCAAAATAATGGGCCTCGAGTAAGGGTTTGGCCCAACTACATGGGATTGACTCATGTTTCACTGTTTCAGAACAAATGTAGGATTACTATATGTTAGTTGAACTGGTGAGAGACATTATAACCAGATATTTGATACATAAGGCAAATAAAATTACTTTTATTCAATAAACCATTCACATGGTTGGAAACAAAACATAAAATGCAACTAAAAATGGAAAAAAACAAACATGAATGTGAACAGGACAATACTCTTGTCTGGTAAGAGATTGACTTGGTGGAAGTATTTAGAAGGCCTGAACGGAGAGAGCACCATAAACACAAATTGTTTGACCTGTAACGTAAGAAGCTGCAGGTAGACACAGAAAAGCAGTCATTGCAGATTTGCAGCCACTTCTTCTGGCTCTCCAGCGCACCGCATTGGTATATTCGGTGCAATATTCTTTGCAAACTCATCTCCTTGTATAAACTCCATCTGTTCTGTTCTACTTTAGCCATTGTTGTGGATGTTTCTGTTCTAGACTTCTAGTTTGATAACAAAATGATAATGGAAAAATGGCTTATTTATAGTGTCTAAATGATACGAGGTTAAGAGAATCTTCAAAGAAATTGTGGAAAGATATCCTAATTAATGACGTTTTGGCTGAGACAAATTAGAGATCAAAGTAATGATAAGACTGAATTAGTTTAGGTTAAAATATTTAATTAGGAAAAAAAAAAATTTAATTAGGAAAGTGATGATGACGTAACTAATGATATTAGGACATAATGTCCCACATCGGAAGTTGGAAGAGATCCTAAGTAATATATAAGGGATATGGGTCACTCCACTCATTGCCAATTGGTTTTGAGTTGAAACCCATATTCTAATAAATGATGCGTTATCCAATTTAAAAGAAAAAGGGTTTGGCTATGATGATGTAAGTGATGATGAGTCCTCTGAAGTTAATCAAAAGGCTAGTAATCAGTAATAACATGTTTAGCGAAATAACAGGTTTTGGATTCAATCAAACTCGAGAGGTACTCTAGACTGTTTAAATGATCAAAAAAAAAAGAAAGGTTCACAATAAGAGTTTGTTTCTGGATTTTTTGTTTGGTCTCAAGTACTTAATTGGTTTCATTTCTTGAGTGTAAAACAAGTTTTGTTTGATGAAATTTATACAAATATCTCATAAAGAATGAAAGGATTTCTCTTCACTGAAGCCTTATAATTTTACCATTTTGCGTTTGATGTTACTTTGGCAACCTCTTTTTCCATATCTCCTTACGTAAGCTAGCAAACTACTTTAGAAAACTGAAAAGATCCATTGTGTTCCAACCATGCAAAGCTATGGAACACGACCCACCGGTGCTAAACAAAGGCAGCGGAAGAAGAATTGGGTCTCGAATTCGTATTAGACCCACACCCTAAAGGATGTTCAAAATTGTCTATAGTCCACAAGTTTTTCAAGTCTCGATGTCTGGCAAATAATTCTAATATTACGTGTGGAGAGAATCATAGAAAGATACTTTTGGTCGTCATCTTTGAAAGCTTTACTGAGAAAGATTAATATGACACCCTGCAAGCATATATATCTAAGGATCTCATAGAAACAGAACATAGGGACACATTCGTTTAGCGAATTTAGAAACACATCTAAATTACATTTATTACATATTGACGATGTATATAACCCGTAGGTTTAATAATTGAAAATATGATCCAAACACATTCATATATACTATATGTGTTTTAAGGCAGAGTCTTGAAGGAAAGACCGTTGACAGTGGCACCTCCGTCAACACAAATGGTCTGACCAGTAATATAAGAAGCTGAAGGAAGACAAAGAAATGCCACAAGCGATGAGACTTCATTTGCCTCTCCAACACGTCCCATCGGTGTATTACGCACCGCTTCTTTCTTAAACTCTTCATCGAAAAACTAAGAGATTTTCACACATAAATTAAAACCAGAAGTAATAATACGTATGTTTTGTTTTTCATAGTACGAACGAGAAATTTAAATGTTGGCCTTACATCGTTACTCAAAGGAGTTGTGATATACCAAGGACAAACAGAGTTAGTCCTTATGTTGTCGCTCGCCCATTCGCAAGCTAAGTTTCTAGCCAGCTGATTCATGGCTCCTAAAATATATGCATGTGTAAGCATCATAACACATGATAACATATTGTGTTAAGGATATACATATATATATACGGTACCTTTGGTTGCTCCATAGATGGATCCAACATTGACATGCACGACTCCAGCAGTAGAGGACATGAGCACGATGCTCCCTGAGCCGGAGGCTTTTAACAATGGGTGCGAAAGCTGTGAGAGATGGAAAGCTGACTCGAGATTTGTAGCCATTACAAAAGAGAAATCTTCTGCTGTATACTCTGTGGTCGGCTTGAATATTGACGTTCCCACATTGTTGACCTATATATATGTATAGACACAACAAAAAACACAGCATGATTGGGTTCTTGTAGATCCCAAGCCGAGGAGGACGAAGCTTATATATGTATACATACTTACGAGGATGTTGAGTTTTCCTTGGTAGAGAGAGGAAACAGTTTCCATGAGTTTCACTCGTTGGTCACGAGAAGAGACGTCGCAGACAGAAGTGGTGACCTGAAAGCCTTTGGCTTGCCATTCACGTAAGCGTTCTTGAAGCTGAGTTTCGTCTCTGGCACATGTGTGGACTCTTGCTCCCAATATTGCTAGTTCTTCCACCACAGCTTCCCTATTCATGACACGCACACACATACATAGTTAGTTCTTCCATAACTAAACATGACAATACATTAAAAGAGCATATAAAATGGTAGTCAAGATTCACAATGGGGACTGACCCGATGCCTTTAGAGCCACCAGTGACAAGAGCGGTCATGCCTCCAAGACTCCATCTTGAGTTCTCTCGCAAGCCCCCTTCCTTTGCCATTCCTTGTTATCAACCTGCGACGATTCTTTTCTTCAACCAAGATCACAGATCTTATAGAGAATTGATCAAGACTAGTAGTGATAGTTTTGAACTTTGAAACCTCTCTGTTCAAAATTCCACATTATATGAAAATGACCGTACGACCACACATATCCGTGAGAAGGGTGTAGTACGAAAATACTACTTTTCCTTTTGACAATCCTTGTGTGGTAAAGAAAGACTTTATCAATTAATAATGGAGACCCCTTAGTTAATAGTGCACCACATATTGGTACACCATTTACGTGTCATGCGCATAGTTAATATCTATATAATAATTAAAACTAATTTATATTAGCATAAAAATTTTAGATCAGCATGTATCAATTAGCCACTTAAACCACTGGTAAATTGCGTTTAGCCACAAACGGCTATGGGAATTTCTGTGCTTACACAACCATTGAAAAAAACCAATAATTAAGTGGCCATCGGTTGCTTACTGGCCACACAAACTGACAACAAACGATTTCATCTCCATTTTAATTTTCACAAAATGTTGGCGAATATTATTAGTATCTAACAAAATTTATATGGCTATATATCTAGCAGCATAATCAACAAAGAATTTGTAGTAGCCAATATTCATGTAAATAAGAGTATATATACGACTCTATATTGCATGATACAACTATCGAATTCTGTTTCGCAAATCTTACAAAATTCCTAAAAAACAAAGAAATAGACCTTTGGGACGTTTTTCTGGCTGGATAGGTGGTTCCCCATGGGACGTTTGCTTGACATAGCCGGCAAGAGTGGCATTCGTAATCCGGGAGTTCAGAGATATGCCAAGGTCTCATAGGTGGTTATCGGTTCAAGTTGTAGATTTAGATGCTATCTGGAGAGAAACTTGGAGGAGATAAAAAGCATTTGTGGCTTGATAGTACCGGAGCTAGGAGTGGGTAGATATGTAGTCCTATGGCCCCACTCGCTAGATGACTACCGCCCAACATTCTCTACAGCTTGTACTTGGGACTAGATACGTACCCGTCGCGACACTAAAGACTGAAGCAAAATCATTTGGTTTCCCCGGGTTGCTCCTCGCTTTGCTTTTATCTCTTGGTTGGAAATAAGAGACAGGTTATCGACGAGGTCTAGGAAGCGGCAATTGGGATGTATTTCGGCCTTTCTTTTCCGTGGTGAGCCAGATGAGACGCGCAAGCACCTATACTTTGCTTGTCTCTACTCGTACATAGTCTGGCTAGCTGTTGTTGGGGACTTACTTTAGATGGCACCTTACCCAGGTTAGAATGAGATGAACCAACGACTTATCACACATACATTTGAAGGGAACTCATACATTCTCTTCGGTTGGCTTTTCAAGCTAAATTGTACTATTTGTAGAGGGAGCGAAACGAGAGGAAGCATAACAATCACTACCACACGCATACTCAACATGCTAATACGATTGAGAAGACAATCTGGTCGCAAATCATGTCCATGCTATACTTTGAAAGTCAGAAGCTATGTGGGCTGCTCCAACTTTGGTTCAGGTCCAGACATCCTAACTAGCACAAGGATGATTTGAGTGCTCTGTTCACTCTCGTTGCTCTGTTTTTTGTTATGCATTGGCTCTGTTTCAAGCTAAAGGTTCTACTTCTATAAATACTCTTATTTGATTCAATTATTTTGATATTTCAACAAAAAAAAAAAAAAAAAACAGAATGGAATAGAACATTTTCATGTATGATAGATACATTGCGAGTGTAATCAAATTGTGATATCGTTGTTTTCGACTCATAGACTCATAGTGAGCGACTTTTTATTAGTAAACATTGCAAATTTAAGACAAACAACAGAACAGGACAAGGCTATTATCAAGCCTGTGGCTGATAGGAGAAGCCATTAACAGTGAGACCTCCATCAATACAAATGGTTTGACCAGTAATATAAGAAGCTGCAGGTAGACACAAGAAGACCACTAGTGATGCAACTTCATTTGGCTCTCCAACACGGCCAAGTGGAGTTCTACTCAACAATGCCTCCTTAAAACCGATGTCATCAAGAAACTTAAAAATAAAAAATTGAAAGATGATTAGAGGAATTGAAGTTGTTACATTCACACAAAAGAAAATGTAAAGGATGCTTCTTTTAATTACAGGTTGAGACAGAGGAGTCGTGATAGCATTTGGCGCAACAACATTGGCTCTTATGCCGTCTTTTGCCCATTCACATGCCAAATTTCTAGCTAGCTGATGTAGAGCTCCTGTAAAATATATCAAAAACATTTAAAAAATATTCCCTTTGATACTTGGTCTTGCCTCTAGTAGCAACTCTAGTTACCTTTGGCTACAGAAAAAACTGATGAACAAGCCATCCTTACAACACCTGCAATAGAGGAAATGAAAATGATGCTTCCAAATCCTGAAGCCTTTAGGAGAGGATGTGAAAGTTGGCTAAGATGATAAGCAGATTCTAAGTTTGTTGAGATATGGAACGAGAAATCTTCTGCCACATTCTCTATCGTTGGCTTATTGCGAATTCCACCCACATTGTTAACCTAAAATGAACAAAATGAGAGTTTAAAAGTTTTTTCCCCACAAAAATCCTAAACTCGATCAGTTTCTTTAACATCAAGTTACATACCAAAATGTTGAGTTTGCCATCGAAAAGCGAGGAAGCGGTTTGCATCAGTGTTTCTCTCTCGGCACGAGACGTTACATCACAGACTGAGCCACTCACTTGAAACCCTTTCTTTTCCCATTCACTTAAACTTTGATTAAGCAGAGTTTCAGATATGTCGCATACATGGATTCTAGCTCCAAAACCAGCTAACTCCTCTACTATGGCATATCTAAACATTCCACAAAGGTAAATTTAGGATATTAATGGTCATTTAGGATATTAAATAGAAGCAGAACAATAGATAAAATAGGTGATATAGAGAAAATATAAAAGAAAGACAAACCCGATTCCCCTGGCTCCACCTGTCACAAGAGCGGTCATACCGTGAAGACTCCATTTGTTATTATCCATCTTTCGCTATGACTTATCACTATCCAGAGATTCCACAGATTATATATAGTGTGTAGATAGATCAATAAAGCCATTTGAATATGAGCTGGATACATTAATTAAGCATCCGTAGGAAACATAAAACATTGGCCAACTAGTGACGTTGCATGTGACTAGAAATGAACAGAAATGCCATACATAACACAATGAATTTGGATTTCAGTAAGTGCGAATTAATGAATATGATTTGTCAGTGTGATGGAAATGTTATGCAGCCGTACAAGAGAACATGACTAATTAAAATACCTAAGTTAGGGGGTCCACGCAAAAATGACTATTTAAAGTTAAAATCTTCGACCAAACTTACTAATTTGTCTTTTTCAGTAACATGCATCACTCACAAAAGAAAACTAAAACCAGAAGTCATAATGGTGAACAAAATTTGGTAAAGATTTCACGTGTTTAGATAACAACACACATCAATAGGCTTCTTTCTTTTTGGCAAAACTTCTCTTAGAAATCTTTGCTCTGGAGAATTTCGAAATAGTCTTTGATGTCAAATAGGATGCTGCTAAGATTGTAATCAAAGTTTAACTTGGCCTCAGTAGGTACCAGTTAGCTGGTTACTAGATGTCTCGGCATGCAAGGGGATTGATCTACAGAAGAAATGATGTTCAAAACAAATGTGACCAAAAAAAGGGTGTAATAAGCAAATGATCTATGCACCCAAAAAAAAGATATATATATATATATATATATATATATATATATATATATATATATATATGCACCAATTCAAGAATGTTTTGATGATCAAAGTTAACTTTCGACTTGGTGCAATCATTCTTGCCGACAAGGTTATATAGCATGTTTACTTGTTCGATTAAATATTTTTTATTAACAGCGACTGGAGCCAGACCATCCATATATAACCTTAGTACCATCTTTTAAAATCATTCATATATACGACGACATCAAATTGTACCTACAGAAAAACCGAGAAATGAGGGTGAAATACTATAACCAACACTGAGTAAGAACCTCGGAGTAAAATTAAGACAGTATCTAAATAAGAATCAAAATGTCACAACCTTGACAATCATATCAGGAAACAAAAATAAGTCCATTTTCTAGCAGCAAATTTTCTTAAGTGTAGACGTTTCATGAAAAACATTTTGATACTGAATGCCATTTTGCGCTTAATTCATTGAAAATAGACATGCATGATACATGATATATTTCGTTTGTAAAAATATTGATTTGGTCTTTTCTAATTTTGACATGTTATGACCCTAATCTTGAGGCCCCGAATGGCAACCCGATTCGGGTGTGATGTGATGACCCTAATCGCATGTCACCATCGAATGGCAAAACGATTAGAGTGTGATGTGATTCAAGTGTTATTAGCAAGCAATTAGGTTCTTATAATTAAAAATATGATTACAACAAAATTTCCGTTTTTGACGGTAAAACATGAAATTCACATATTTTTCTGGAAAAAAAATTCACATTTTTGGCAGAAAAACACGAAATCACGTTTTTAGCAGAAAAACACGAAATAACGTTTTTGGCAGGAAAACATGGGATCATATTTTTCGTAGAAAAATAGAAATTTTGTTTTTGGCGGGAAAACGTGGAACCAAGTTTTTGGCTGGATGGAATCATGAAACACATGTTTTGGCGAGAAAACTAGAAATCACGTTTTTGGCGAAAAACGTGAAATTACGTTTTGGCAGAAAAACCGGAAATCATATTTTTTGGCGGGAAAACCGGAAGTCACGTTTTGGCGGGAAAACCGGAAGGTCCACAAACAAATGCATGTTTGTTTATGTAAACATGTTAACATAAAAATATTGGGTTTACATTTAAATGGTATAATTATCATTCGTTAAAGATATATATCATAACATTTATATGAATCCAGTATGGGCACACCACATCATTTTCAAAATTAATAGCATGTCATAAAATAGTATAACAATACATTATGCATTTAGGTGACAAAAGTTTTTCTCTTTGCCATCCATTGAATTTTGGGTTTATCTCTTTGTCATTGCTTTATTTTATGTCTCTATTATATGCTAGTTTTGAAATTCACTCTTGATATATATTGGGTTTAACTATTGAGCCGGTCCCAACTTTTCTTTAAAGATCCGTGATTTAAATCATATCAAACTTTAGGGATTTCCATGAGGGTCACATCACTGACTGAGCCATTCACTTAACCTTTGAGTAAGAAGAGTTTCGGATATGTCGCATACATGGATTCTAACTCCAAAACTAGCTAACGCCTCTACTACAGCATACCTAAACATTTCAGAAACATAAAAGTTCCTTGAAATTTTGACCTTTTAGGGATTGTAAAACATATTGTGATGTCACATGATTCTTTCTTTGGGAGATATCTAGTTACTTAATAGTAAACAGAGGATGGAATAGAACATTTTGATGTATAATCAGAACTACTATTTTAAGAGAGATTAGCATCTCCACCATGTAATTTTGATATCGTTTATGTTTTTGTTCATAAACTCATAGTAGGAGTTTTTATTACTGAGAAAACATTGAAAACATCGTTTAAGACCAACAAACAGAACAGGACAAGGCTATTATCAAGCCTGTGGCTGATAGGAGAAGCCATTAACAGTGAGACCTCCATCAACACAAATGGTCTGACCAGTAATATAAGAAGCAGCAGGTAGACAAAGAAAAGCCACAAGTGATGCAACCTCTCTTGGCTCTCCAGTGCGACCAAGTGGAGTTCTACTGAACAATGCCTCCCTGAAACCGGCGACATCAAGATACTAAAAGAAACAAAATTGAGACATGATTAGAGGAATTGAGGTTGTTAAATTCACAGAAAAAAAAAGTTGTCATTTTATTACAGATTGAGACAGAGGAGTATTGATGACATTAGGCGCAACAGCGTTGGCTCTTATGCCGTCTTTTGCCCACTCACATGCCAAATTTTTAGCTAGCTGAATCAAAGCTCCTGTAAAATAAATCAACAAAACATGAAAAATAAAATGACATTAGTCAGTCTTGCAATGAATACTATGCATCTAGTAGTAACTCTGTCTCTTGTTACCTTTTGTTAGACCATAAATTGATCCAGCGTCAAAAGATGTAACCCCAGCAATAGAGGAAACAAAGATGATGCTTCCATAGCCTGAAGCCTTTAGCAGAGGATGTGAAAGCTGGCTAAAATGGTAAGCAGCTTCCACGTTTGTTGATATATGCAAAGCGAAATCGTCTTCCGTATATTCTGTTGTTGGCTTTGAGCGGATTACGCCCACATTGTTTACCTAAGAATGTTGAACAAATGTGTCTTTAAAAGATTTCCCTCATGAATATGCTTCACTTGATTAGTATCTTTAAAAAGCAATTTACTTACAAGAATGTTGAGTTTGCCATCGAACTGCGAAGAGACGGTTTGCATCAGTTTTTCTCTCTCGGGGCGAGAGGCTACATCACAGATTGAACCACTCACTTGAAACCCTTTCTTTTCCCATTCACTTAAACTTTGATTAAGCAGAGTTTCAGAGATGTCACATACATGGATTCTGGCTCCAAAACTAGCTAACTCCTCTACTATGGCATAACTAAAACATTCCACAAACATAAATTCCTTAAAATCTTTGACCTTATAGAATGTTAAAACAGAGTCAGACCAATGGGTAAAACAGCTGATATAGAGAAAACAGAGAAGAAAGACGAACCCGATTCCGCTGGCTCCACCGGTCACAAGGGCAGTCATACCTTGGAGACTCCATCTTTTGTCCATTTTCCTTGAATGTTACTTGCAATGACCAAAAATGATTTATATATAAGGTAAGTGTCAATTTTCTTACCATGAAAAGAAAAGATAAGGGTCAATAAGTCAGTATGTTTGTATATGCCATAGTAACGAACATGACAAAAATATATGTTAGTGGTCAATAGCAGAAATTAATGACTTTTAATAGTCAAAATGTTGACCTAAACTTACTCATTTTTTTGTCTTTTTTTCATTAATTTCATTCACAAAAGACAACTGAAACGACAAGTCAGTCAGACTAGTGAACAAAAATTGGTAAAACATTCAACGTGTTGGTTAGGTAACAAAAAAACAATGGATCTGATTGGTAACCAAAAGCTGTACAAATCTTTTAGCTGTGGAGAGATCCATATATCTTATATACTAGTCAAGATCCCTTATCCTTTCCAATGTGGGATAATATTATCCCTAATACGTCCCCTCGAGATGATGGCTCTAGCCATTGATCTCGGTATGCTCGGGCATGGATCGGCGGGCCAACTATTGGACCGGGCCGATGGTGGATTAGATTTGGACATGTATGGATCGGGCTCTGATACCATATTAGAATATGGGCTTCCAACTCAAAACCAATTGGCAATGAATGGAGAGATCCATATATCTTATATACTAGTCAAGATCCCTTGGCCTTTCCAATGTGGGATAATATTATCCCTAATAATAAGAAAGCTGTACAAAAAAGCTAAGAGTAAAACTGTTTGTAACGCTTTTGATAAAGTTTTTGTGATTGGTAACTGTTAAAACTGTATGTTTTGTACAGCTTTGTAAAGCTGTTACCAATCAAACCCAATGTCTCTTTCATTCTTTGAGTGCTTTACTTCTAATTAGCTAGGTTCTTTTATTTTATTTCTCTTAGGTTTCTTGCTCATCCCATTTACAAATATCCAAAGTTAACAAATCGTATGACTCTAAAATTCTCATTTGTGCTTTGCTTCTTTCTATTGACCGATTTTCTGCTGAATATTTGCGAAGGTGTAACTATGTTCTTTTTATTTGTAGCCGTTATAGTATGTTGTAATTACTTTTTATTTTTATTTTTTATATATCTTGTGATTTTCTTGCTCTTTGGCTTTTATGTAAGAAGTAGATGTCATGTAAAGTATTTTCAAGGTTGAATGAATTTCAAGGATAGATCATTGCTTTTGGACAGAAATCATTGCCGAGAGTCGTTTTATACTTATGGTCACCCGGCTCAATGATTTCAATCCTCATATTTTTCTGATCCACATATAATATTCCTTATAAGAAGCATTTTCTTGGAGAATGTATGAATAATACTGAACGGGTAAATAGAAAATGCATTATCGAAAATAATTGTGTCCTAATCCTCAACTCACATATCTATGGATTCTTGATTATGGAGCTACTGACTATATCACATTTGAAGTGAACGATTATTCTCAGAGTACGGAAGTCCAAAGAAATTTATTGTTAATACTAATGATGGTTTATCACTCGTAACCGGTGCGGGGGATTGCAAATATAATAATATTTCGTTGGAAGTTCTTAATGAGACCAACACACAACACAAGACCCAGCTCATCAAGCCTGTGGCTGATAGGAGAAGCCATTAACAGTAAGACCTCCATCAACACAAATGGTCTGACCAGTAATATATGAAGCAGCAGGTAGACATAGAAAAGCCACAAGTGATGCAACCTCTCTTGGTTCTCCAGCGCGACCAAGTGGAGTTCTACTTGACAAACTCTTGTTAAAACCGGCGTCTTCGAGAAACTGATTGTTTACAAATAAAAAACAAGAATAAGAAGTGGATGCTGATGTTAATAGTAAAGGAAAAAAAAATTGAAAAAGGATCGGACGAGGGTGTATTGATTACAGATTGAGCAAGAGCAGTGTTGATAAAATTAGGAGCAACAGCGTTGGCTCTTATGCCGTCTTTTGCCCATTCACATGCCAAATTTCTTGCTAGCTGGTTCAAAGCTCCTATATACAAACAAGAAAAAGTTACACTATGACTACGAGGGACATCTATTAGGAATACCGAATACCAAAGAAAATTAGACCTAATTTACAAATAGAACTGAATGATACTAGGTCAATCAATTAGCCATTGGAAGTAACTTTTGGAGAAAGGTTATGAACCATATAAATAATACGAAAAAGATTTATGATCCAATAACATAGCTATAAATTAGTTTTGTTTGTATATGTTATTGAATATGAATGGAAACCCTATATTTGACAGTCTGAATTATATATTTCCGAAACAAAAAGTGTTTGCATACCATACTAAAATAAGATTTCATTAATTTAGCTACACATGAAAATAAAATAAAAACAATTTCTTCTAAACATTATTTGAATTAAACGTAATAAATTCTCCTAATCAGATATATAAATTTTATATATGCATAATGAAACATATATAAATCCACAATACTATTGCGTCAAGTACAATGGAAAATCCCTCCATTGATTAATCAGTCTTGCAATGAATGCCTCTAGTATTAAACATGGTTACCTTTCGTTAGACCATAAATGGATGCAGCATCAAATGATACGATCCCTGCAGCAGAGGAAATAAAAACAATACTTCCATAGCCTGAAGCCTTTAGGAGGGGATGTGAAAGTTGGCTTAGATGATAAGCAGATTCCAAGTTTGTTGAAATATGGAACGAGAAATCGTCTGCCTCATATTCTATTGTTGGCTTTGTGCGAATTGTGCCAACGTTATTCACCTATATTGAATAGAAAAAAAGCGAGAAAAATCGTTATATATATATATATATATATATATATAGACATGTCATTTCTTAATAGCCTAAAGAATAAGCTTAGTTTCTCTAAATTAAGATTAACTTACAAGAATGTTAAGCTTGCCATCGAATATCGTTGTGACAGTTTTCATAAGTGTTTCTCTTTCGAGGCGATTGGATGCATCACAGACTGAACCACTTACTTGAAACCCTTTCTTTTCCCATTCGCTTAAACTTTTATTCAGCAGAGTTTCAGAGATGTCACATACATGGATTCTAGTTCCAAAGCCAGCTAACTCCTCTACTACGGCATAACTAAACATTTCATAAACTTAAACTTAAAACTTTGACCATTTAGAATGTATAATAGAAACAGAACAATGGGTAAAAAAATTGACATAGAGAGAAGAAAGAAAAACCCGATTCCGCTGGCTCCACCAGTCACAAGAGCAGTCATACCTTGGAGACTCCACCTCTTTTCCATTTTCCTCGTACGTTACTTGCAATGACCAGAAATACTACATATTATATATACATTATTCAATGTATTAGATAAGTGTCAATTGTTTACCAAAAGAAAAATAAAAGATTAGTGTAAATTAATGAGTATGTTTGAATGTGTGGTGGAGATATTAGCCTTAATAAAGAACATGACAAAAATATAGAAGCTAGTGGTCAAGAGCAAAAATGACTTTTATTAGTCAAAATCTTGACCTAAACTTACCATTTTGTATTTATTTCATTAACTTCACTCACAAAATACTACTGTTCACGTGTTTAGGTAACATAAAGGCAAATGATTCTTTCATACTTTTGGTGCTCATTTTCGGAAAAGTAATGAATTGCGACATCAATTAAATGCGCGATGTGTTTTTATACACCAACTAATACATAATGCGTATTTCAATCTGAACAAACAAAATTTTCAAATAATCGACATGAATTTCAAATTGTATGCCGAAATTAATATTGATCAAAATGTTGTTAGTCTTGAGTTTTTACTGACTCAGATGCAACATATGGAATTTATACTGAGATAGATGACGCATGCCTATTTTCTGTTGAGTTAAATCCCACGTGTCACTATATATTTAAAACCAAAAAACAAAAAAAATGGGGAAATATTTATTTCGATTCTAATTTTTCCTGTTTAATTATAGAGCAAAGAAAAGTGGTCTAATTCACACCAAATGCGCGACATTTTTCTTTTTTTTGAATAACCGCGGATCTCCCAAAAGCTTCCTAGGCCCAAGGACTAATCCCACGAGACTGGCAATTCCCTATGTAAATCTGCCAGTGGTCGTGCTTCGAACTCTGGTGGCGGAAGTCACAGCTGTGACCCCTTTACCACTAGGCCACAAGGCCCGGTTAACGCGCGACATTTTTCTTTTTCACTTACATGAAACTCGAATTGGAACATCTATATGAGTTTACACTTACATATCATGAGTTTACAGATATTACATATATAGAGGAAGATGGAAGAAAATTAAGGTGGAAATTTAAATTGCATCGAATTAGGGTTTGTGGAGAATAAGAAAGGTCTCTCTTGGTCAGGTTCATGTGCTTAATTTTCCCTCCAAACACCAATATGTTGATATATCCTCCAAAAGCCTTCCTACTGCCCTCTTCACTTTTTAAATTTCGCTTCAACCTGAGCATCTACAATTCTTCCACTTAGGCTGTGGATGAGTGTTAGAACAATGAAATCTCAATTCGAACTATGTAAACTATAGGTATCCGATCATAGATATTGATTACTCGATGTATGCTCATCGACTGAGGTTCTCACCAATCAACAAGAGGGAGACAAATTAGAGATCAAAGTAATCATAAGAAATGAATTAGGTTAGTGTTAAATATTAATGGGGCAAGTGAAGATGACGTAAATATGATACCTCTTCCATTAAATTAATATGGGAGAATAGATGATGTAAGTGATGATGTTCTTCAGAATATAATGAAATTAAGGATAGTAACATGTTTAGAATGTACATATTGAAATTCGAGAGGTAACTATTTATAGGGTTTTTTTTTTGGCAAAAGGTAACTATTTATAGGTATGAATAAAAAGAGTACATTTATTAATTTTTGGGTACTTAGATTGATCTCATGTAATTAATTTGTATCGCCAACGCAACATATTATTTTTCGAGTCAAATTAGACAAGTTTTGCTTCGATAAAATATTTTACATGAGAATATATAGTTGGACATTCTTGATGACACCAACACACAAGACAAGACCCGGCTCAAGCCTGTGGCTGGTAGGAGAAGCCATTAACAGTAAGACCTCCATCAACACAAATGGTCTGACCAGTAATATATGAAGCTACAGGTAGACACAGAAAAGCCACAAGTGATGCAACCTCTCTTGGTTCTCCAACGCGACCAAGTGGAGTTCTACTGGACAAACTCTCGTTGAAACCGGCGTCTTCGAGAAACTGATTGTTTACAAGATTGTAAAAAACAAGAATAAGAAGTGGATGATGTTAACAGCAAAAGAACAAATATATGAAAAAGCGTGAGGGTGTATTGATTACAGCTTGAACCAGAGTAGTGCGGATAAAATTAGGAGCAACAGCATTAGCTCTTATGCCGTCTTTTGCCCATTCACATGCCAAATTTCTTGCTAGCTGATTCAAAGCTCCTGGACATAAACACAATATAATGATTATTACGAATCCCATAGAAAATTTTACCTAATGTAGAAATACAAAGCTTTTATATTATCGTGTGACATTAGGACTATATATCAAGCCGTTGGAAGTGTGTTTTGGAGAAAGATTAATTAGGAACCATTTAGAACAAGCTTTATGATTCATCAACCTAATTAAAAATAGGTTTAAAATAGTATATGATTGAAAACCCTATATTTTGACAGTTTGGTCAATCGAATCATCCCAACTGGTTTTGGGGTTGAAAAATCATGAATTTTGCATACCACACTAATATAATTTATTAATGTATCTCTCAACATTAAATTCTGCTTTTCCGCATCAAATTAACATCATTTAGATATATTAAACGTAATTAAAAATTCTCCTAATCAGATATATAAGTTCATCTATATATATATTTTTGGAATACATTTAGCAAATAAATCCTAGAGTTGAGAAGTATTTACGAGGTCATGCCACTGGAATTAATTTTTTTGTTTAAAAATATCAAATAAAAGATGGAAAGAATATTGCACTCAACAAACAATATTGCCAAAAATCTCTCAAAAAAGTTTCCACAGTTTCTTTCTAAAATCGTTTTTTCCAAGATTTCTACAACTAAATACACCAAATTTAAATAAAAGATTTACCAGTAAACAAACATTGCCACAAATCTCTCCATAATTACTCCACGACTACTTTTTAAAATTTCACATCCAAAATTTCTTCCAATATCTCTAACTAAACGATTTTAAGAAATAAATTAATGATTTTTCTCCATAAAAAAATCTCCGCAGTTTCTTTTTAGAATTAAAATTCTGAAATATCTTATTTCAACTAATTACTTATCAAATTCATTATCAACACAAAATCCCACCAATATAATCATACCAACAAACTTAAAGAAAGAATTAAATTATAATAACAATTGTAATTGTAGCATAATCTTCTAACATACTGATTTGATATATTAGATTCTGATTTAGTTTAGATTGCAAATATATAGATGTATATAAATCATTATACGGGTCATACACTATATATGTATTTAAAAAATACAATATAATCGTTTATATCTATATATAAACTTCAAATTATTTACATTTCACTATTTTTTAAAATATAGTCCTGCGGTATACCACGAGTCAATCTTTATATATATATATATATAATCCGATGAAGCTATCTAAAACATTGTAACTGTACACTTAATAATATATATATATATATATATGTACATTTTTAAAATACTAAATAATAGGTTATATATATAAATAATCTATTAAATAAATTATATTTTGATCCCTGACCAAAAAAAAAATTATATTTTGATTTTCTTAAAAAAATTATAGCCCCGCGGTATACCGCGGGTTAAAATCTAGTATATATACATAAATGCACAATACTATTTCGTCTAGTATAATGGAGAAAATCTCTCTATTGATTAGTCAGTCTTGCAATTAACCCTAGTTACCTTTCGTTAGACCATAAATGGATGCAGCATCAAATGATACAATCCCTGCAATAGAGGATATAAAGACGATGCTTCCATAGCCTGAAGCCTTTAGAAGAGGATGTGAAAGTTGGCTTAGATGATAAGCAGACTCCAAATTTGTTGAAATATGGAACGAGAAATCTTCTGCCACATATTCTATTGTTGGCTTTGTGCGAATTGTGCCAACGTTGTTCACATTTGTTGAACAGAAAAGAGTAAGATATATCCTACTATACATGTCATTTCTTCATAGTCTAAAGATAAATCTTGGGTTCTTTAAATTAAGATTAACTTACAAGAATGTTAAGCTTGCCATCGAATATCGTGGTAACAGTTTGCATAAGTGTTTCTCTTTCGGGACGATTGGATGCATCACAGACCGAACCACTCACTTGAAATCCTTTCTTCTCCCATTCACATAAACTTTGATCCAGGAGAGTTTTTGATATGTCACATACATGGATTTTTGCCCCAAAACCAGCTAGTTCCTCTACTATGGCATGCCTAAAGTATCCCACAAAAAAAAAGCACATGTTAAACAAGCAAAACAATGGTTAAAAAAATGATATAGAGAGAAGAAAGACGAACCCGATTCCGCTGGCTCCACCGGTTACAAGAGCAGTCATACTTTGAAGACTCCATCTTTTATCCATTTTTTGTTTGTTTTGCCTAGCAATGACCACAAATACATAACATATATAGAATCAGAGTAGATAAAATATTAATGGAAAACTTTGAAAGAGGGTTCACTTCTTATAAAATCTTAGATCCATCAAACCGAACCCGGATATTCGAATTTTCAGCTTCGGATAGTCGGAACTATATTCATTAAATATATTAAAGATAATTTAAGTATATATTTACATATATTCTGTTATTTCTATATAAGAACACATAGAATTTAAATTATTTATACTATATATCAGATTTTATTTTTGAAAATACTATTTAATAATTTTTTAGACATTTTCATATTTTATTATTATCATATTTTCAACGGATCTATAACTGAAATCGCGGATATCTTGATGTTTGGATGGATATATAAAGTCTAAATCTCCAGAAACCATGGATCTGAAGAGTTGTATAACAGGCCATTCTATTTCATCCCCATCTACCACGTACAAATTAGATAACAGGTGAAAAAATGTCCAAATTTTTCCAAAAATAATCAGCAAAATAGTATTTTGATTGCTTACATAATTCCATTACTATTTAAGATCTTAAATACCACTCAACTTTTTGCTAGTGAGTGCAAATATTTAAAAACAAACGTGACAAAGTAAGGTGTTCCTTTGATAGTTTTTATTTTTTGGGAGAACCAAAACCGGTATGGAGGTTCGTGCCTTGCTCGCGAATTATTCGCAAGTGGGATTACTGTAATAGAGAAATAATCAAACAAATCACAAGAAACTGGACAAGGTCATTCTTGTCGTGTAGAATCAAATACATCACAAAATAAAACACGAAGTTTAAGACAAACAGATAAAACACGACATACACGGAACAACAACAATAAATAAGTATAATCAGTGAAATAGACGGAGCAACAACAACAAAAAATAAGTACAATATTAATCATGTTGTATTACAATTAACATTTAAAATCAGTGACATAGACGGTAATATATCCTATCATTGCTACAATTCTCAATTTTTTTTCTCAGATATTTGTATCCAGTTATTTTGCATCGGGACGTATATAGATGACTTGAAACATATAACATTTTGATTTATGAGAGAAACATTGCCACAAGATGTTGGTGTTGCAGGTGTACTCGAATCTTCTATCTAAGCGAGATTAGCATCTCCAAAATGGAATTGCAAACTCATTTATGTTTACGTGTATAAACTCATAGAGTGACAATTTATATTAGATCTAGAACTTTGAGAGCACAAAGCCATTCTCAAGCGTCAAGCCTGTGGTTGATAGGAGAAACCATTAACCGTGAGGCCTCCATCAACACAAATGGTTTGACCAGTAATATAAGAAGCTGCAGGTAGACACAAGAAGACCACTAGTGATGCAACTTCATTCGGCTCTCCAGCGCAACCAAGTGGAGTTCTACCAAATAATGCCTCCTTGAAACCGACGTCCTCGAGATACTTCAAGAACACACAATTAAGAAATAATTAGAGGAATTGAGATTAATTACATTCACATAAAAAAAAGAGTAAATGTTGTCTTTTTTTTATTACAGATTGAGACAGAGGAGTCTTGACAACATTAGGTGCAACAGCATTGGCTCTTATGCCATCTTTTGCCCATTCACATGCCAAATTTCTAGTTAACTGATTCAAAGCTCCTATAAAAGAAATCAACAGAAAAAAAAAAACAAAAATTGAAAACTACTTCTTGACTAGTCAGTCTTGCAATAAACTTCCTCTAGTAGCAACTTGGTTACCTTTCGTTAGACCATAAATGGATCCACATTCAACTGATACAATCCCTGTGACAGAGGACATAAAGACGATGCTTCCAAATCCTGAAGCCTTTAAGAGAGGATGTGAAAGCTGGCTAAAATGGAAAGCAGCTTCCAAATTTGTTGAGATGTGAAAAGAGAAATCATCTGCCACATATTCCGTTGTTGGCTTCCCGCGAAGTACACCAACATTGTTTACCTATATATTAAGATTTATTTTAAGGAGCTCCATTTAAACAACTATGCTTGGCATTTCTATAAGATCGTTTACTTACAAGAATGTTGAGTTTGCCATCAAACAGCGAGGAAACGGTTTGCATCAGTTTTTCTCTATCGGGACGAGAAGTTACATCACAGACTGAACCACTCACTTGAAACCCTTTCTTTTCCCATTCACTTAAACTTTGATTGAGAAGAGTTTCAGAGATGTCGCATACATGGATTCTAGCTCCAAAACCAGCTGACTCCTCTACTATGGCATATCTAAAACATTTTCAGAAACATAAATTACTTTCTTGAAAATTAGGATGTGAAATATAAGCAGAACAATGAGCTAAAAATATGATATAGAGAACAGAGAAGTAAGACGAACCCGATTCCGCTGGCTGCACCGGTGACAAGAGCAGTCATACATTGAAGACTCCATCTTTTATCCATTTTTCTTGGTTGTTACTAGCAGGGACCAGAAATGCCACATATTATATATATAGAAATGAATTATTGAGTATGGGATCAGATAAGTGTGAAATATTGAGTATGTTTGTATGTGTGGATGAGAATTTATGTAGTAGTAAGAGAGAGAAGATGTCCATTGAGTCATCATTGCATAGGGATTTTAATATTTAAAGCATGGTGTAATGCCACATGATTCTGTCTTTGGGCATGATAGGCGATGAGTTTCGAAGTCCATCTTCTCATTTGAGTCCAAGTTGTGCTCTTCTCTGCTTTCGTCTGTTCTGTTACTGCTAGGCTTACTCTTAGTCTCTTACCAGAAACATCTTCTGGTTAGGTTTCTTAGTCCCAAAATGAATGTAGTTTTAAGGCTTGACCTAAAAATCCAAAGTTGCCAACTGATCAAGCTTTCTATTTCAAATCATTTTTTTGTATATTGTAATATTAATCAAGACAACTATATTATTGCGTAGCTCCATTCATAGTTCTAAAATCAATTCGTTTAATTAGGATTCACCAAGAAATCTTCAGGATCAGTTTCATTCTATTGAATTTGATCCAACGAAGTGGAGAAACAGAGAAAGCTACGTGCATGGGTTTTTAGTAGGCCTGGGCAAATAAACCGAATCGAATGTACCGAACCGAAACCGAAGCAAAAATAACCGAACCGAACATTTGAAAATAACCGAATGGATACTAAATTTTATAACCGAAATAACCGTAACCGAATCGGTACCGAATCGAAATCTTTCGGGTAACCGAAATACCCGAAATACAATTATATTTTCAAAATAATTAGTTATTTATAGATCAAATAATCAAAAATACTTGAAAATTTTATAAAAGTAGTAAAAATACTCGAAAATAACCGAAATATATCCAAAAATATCCGAAAATACTCAAAAATAACCGAGATATCCGAAAATATTCTAAGCAAAATAACCGAATGGTGTCTTCCAAATAGCACCAACAAAATAATATCAGCATCCAACTCGTCATCATGTAATGCATTTCTTTCTCTTTCTTCAAGGACTTCTTGATCTCCATGATGGGCTTGATCCATGTTTGATGATGTACACCTGTGACACAAAAAATATAACTCGTAAAACTTTTCTTACAAGTAAATGACATGATAATTAAAAAATCAAGGAAAATAGAAACTGCTAATATTGTTTTCTTCCAAATCCACCCAAATAACTAGGTGGAACCCAAGGATTTCAATCACTCTATTTATAAGTAAAACATATATTCAATTCCATTCAAATCCAATATGAAGTCAAATCCATACTCAAATCTTCAATATTGAATATGGGGTGATTTTAAAAAGTATTTGTAAATCATAGAACCAATAACACATGATTTTTATAAAAAATTTAAAATCAATGATTGAATAACACATAATTTTACTTGGATTTCCAAATCCATTCAAATCAATGATCCAATAACCCCCTTAAATTTTAAAACCGAAAGAACCGGAACCGAACCGAAACCGAACCGAAATTTCAAAATATTCGAATGGATACTAAATTTTAGAACCGAAAGAACCGAAACCGAATGGACCCAACCGATAACCGAACAGTTAACCGAAAGCCCAGACCTAGTTTTTAGCGGAAGCTTCTCTTATCAAGCGGGCTTATTTTGGCCCATAAGCCCACTAAAGGTTTTGGTCTCACCTTAGGGCAATACAAATTACTTGAGGTTTAAGTTACGTGAACGTGTAAAAATAATATCGGCAAGAAAATTAACCTTAATGAGTCCCACATCGGAAACATATAAGAATTTAATCTGGTATATAAGAAGCCTGAGTTATGCTATTGTTTGCCAATTGGCTTTGGAGTAGAAGAAGCTTGTGGATCTTCTTGTGGAATCATAACCCTAGACCCAATAGGGTTCATCGACTTTACAATTGGGAATATATATGATCCTCTCTAACGGGAAGAACCCCATGAGCCAAAGCCAATTGGTTTTTGCGTTTTGCCCTCTGAAATCCACTAAAGAAGAAAGAAATCTCTCTATCACATCTTTTTTTTATATATCAAATACCTTTTTATAAAAATACTGCATTCCAAAACGATGGAACCTGCAGCCGAAATATATGGTGCCTCCTAACATGAGTTACGCCAACAAAAAGACTTAGAACAGAGCATATTACAGGAGAGTAGTAATACTGAGTTTGGAACACTCTAAACGAAGAAGCAAGAAGGGAGAGATTCTGAGGATTAGGCCGTTGCTCTCTTGATATATAAATGTGAGATTCCTAATAACAAAACCAGCTAGTTCTTTTGGTATGGCACGTCTTGGATTTAACAACTATGCTAATTTTTATCTTAGTTAGGATTTAGACGAGAACTAATCTCTAAGATAGTAGAGAAGTCTAAGAACATTCTCATGATTCACTTGGAGATTACATATATATAATACCTCTGCATAAGCAAAATAAATAATGGGAAATTGGTGTCAGTAACATGTTTTTCTTGGATGCAAAATCCAACAAATACGACAATGCAAGCAGAAGCTGCAGCCCACAGTCGTTGGTTGCATTTGTCGGACTTGGAGGAGAAAGTGCTGAAACAAAAATCAAAACTTCACTGGTTGAAAGTTGGAGATGGTAATAATAAGGTGTTTCACAAGGCTGCAAAGGTTAGGGAAGTTCGTAATGCGATTAAAGAAATCAAATGCCCTGATGGTACTATAGTCAACACTCAAGAAGAGATCAAGAAAGAGGCTGAAAGATTTTTCCATGATTTTTTGGCTCACAAACCAGCTCACTACCAGGGTATATCAGAGGAAGAGATACGAGATTTAGTGAAATACAGATGTTCCGAAGCAGATGGGATGCAGCTTGAAAGCGATGTATCTATAGAGGAAATCAGGGAAGTATTATTCTCCATGCCAAGGGATAAAAGTCCGGGGCCGGATGGATATACTGTGATGTTTTTAAAAGAAGCATGGCCAATAGTAAAGAAAGATTTTGAAGTTGCAGTACAATCTTTCTTTTTATATGGCTTTATACCTAAGGGAGTAAACACTACAATCTTAGCGCTCATACCAAAAAAGAAAGAGGCCACGGAGATGAAGGATTATAGGCCAATTTCTTGCTGCAACGTGATATACAAGGTCATATCAAAGATTATAGCAAATAGACTCAAAAGACTGCTCCCGGAGTTCATATCTCCAAACCAGTCGGCTTTCGTTAAAGATCGTCTTTTGATGGAAAATGTATTATTGGCATCAGAAATAGTTAAAGACTACCACAAAGACACGATCTCTTCCCGGAGTGCAATAAAGATTGATATATCAAAAGCGTTAGATTCGGTTCAGTGGCCGTTTCTCTTAACTACACTATCAGCCCTCAATTTTCCACCACGATTCATAAAATGGATTGAGCTCTGTATTACCACCGCCTCCTTCTCAGTACAGGTTAATGGTGAATTGTCTGGTCTGTTTTGAAGCGAGAGGGGTCTTCGACAAGGATGCTCATTATCTCCCTACCTCTTTGTAATCTGTATGCAAGTTCTGTCCACAATGCTTGACAACGCTGCCTTGGAGAGAATCATAGGCTACCATCCTCGATGTCAAAATCTGAAGCTCACACATTTGTGTTTCGCAGACGATCTATTGATATTCACAGATGGAAAAAAAAGATCTATTGAAAGCGTTTTGCAGACCTTTGATAAATTTGCAAAATTCTCTGGATTAAAAATCAGTCTTGAGAAGTCAACATTATATATGGCGGGAGTCAGAGACAGTGACAAGGAATTAATTCTATACTCCTTTCCTTTTGAATCAGGTACCCTACCAGTTCGTTATCTTGGCTTACCACTATTAACCAAAAGAATGACGACAAGTGACTATATCCCTCTCATTGAAAGAATCCGAGAACGAATTAGTTGCTGGACGGCTAGACACCTTTCATTCGCAGGGCGTTTACAACTCATAAGCTCAGTGATCCATAGTCTCACAAACTTTTGGATGTCCGCTTTTAGGCTACCGAATGCATGCATCAAAGAGATAGATGGCTTGTGCTCTGCTTTTCTTTGGTCCGGCCCCGAGTTAAATAGAAAAAAAGCTAAAGTATCATGGAACGATGTATGTATGCCAAAGGAAGAGGGAGGGCTGGGGCTCCGTTCCTTAACAGAAGCAAACAAGGTTTGTTGCCTAAAACTTATCTGGAGACTGTTGTCATCAAGCTCGCTGTGGGTACAATGGCTAAGGCAATATGTGATACGTAAGGGTTCATTCTGGTCGCTAAGAGACACATCAACGTTAGGGTCTTGGATGTGGAGGAAGCTACTAAAGTATCGTCACTTAGCTTCCGGTTTTACACAGTATGAGATCCGCAATGGAAAGGGCGTCTCCTTTTGGCATGATAACTGGTCACCTCTAGGCCCGTTGATTGCGATTTCGGGAACACGGGGCTGCATTGACATGGGAATTGATATACATGCCACTGTAGCAGAAGCATTAACACATAGACGAAGGAGGCACCGAGCTGATCATCTTAACCAAATGGAAGCACAGTTAGAAGAGCTGCGCACTAAGGGACTTGTAGAAACAGAGGATGTGGTCCTTTGGAAAGGAAAAGGAGGCCGGTTCAAGCCTAGCTTCAGCACCAAAGAAACATGGGCTGACACTCGTGAACAAAAGCCACGTAATGAATGGTATCAGGGTATATGGTTCTCACACGCCACCCCAAAATACTCCTTCATAACTTGGCTAGCAACAAAGAACCGATTATCAACGGGAGACAGAATGATGAGTTGGAATGCTGGGGTTAATCTCTCATGTGTGTTCTGCCAAGAGCAAACGGAAACTAGGAATCACCTATTCTTCACATGTCGATACTCAAGAGAAGTCTGGTCAGGGCTCACCTCAAAGCTGCTAACTAGACACTACTCTACGGATTGGACTACCATACTCAAACTCCTCACGGACAAGACATTGGGTAACAATCGTTTATTTTTGTTGAGATATGCTTTCCAAATTCTAGTGTACTCGATATGGAAAGAAAGGAATAGCAGAAGACATGGCGAAGAACCACTTCCATCAGCCCTTTTACTAAAAAGGCTTGACAAGGAGGTTCGAAACAAGCTCTCTACCATTAGAGACAAAGGAGACGGAAGATATGAGAGATGCATGATAACCTGGTTTGATACAAGATAGGAATGCTCTTGTTTTCCTTTTGACCATTTAGCAAATGTAAAGCCAACAAGCTTTAAGCTACAGTTGCACTTGATGTACAAACGATTTTTTCGAATAAATTTTACATTTTATTCAAAAAAAAAAAAAAAAAAAAAAAAAAGAAAGTATAGTATCATATATGTTTAATTAAGACCCTCATATGTTTTGTGCACTAGCACCGATGCTATTTTCTTTTTTAACTGTTTTCATTGGACAACACACACAACATAAGACCTAGCTCAAGCCTGTGGCTGATAGGAGAAGCCATTAACAGTGAGACCTCCATCAACACAAATGGTCTGACCAGTAATATAAGAAGCTGCAGGAAGACAGAGAAACGCTACAAGCGGTGAGACTTCATTTGCCTCTCCAACGCGCCCCATCGGTGTCCGTTGCTCTGCTTCTTTTTTAATCTCTTCATCACTGAGAAGCTGAGGGATTTTCATATACATTAAAAACTTAAAATCAAAAGTAATCTTTTTTATTCTCATAATACTAAGGAGAAATTGGCCTTACATCACTAATCAAAGGAGTTTTGATTACCCCTGGACAAATAGCGTTAGTCCTTATGTTGTCGCTCGCCCATTCGCAAGCTAAGTTTCTAGCCAGCTGATTCATGGCTCCTGAAATGAGTTTATATACACTTGCATAACAATCATAACGCAAGGAGGCATTGTTTTAAAGAGTATATATAGTACCTTTGGTTGCTCCATAGATGGATCCAACACTGACATGCACGACTCCGGCTATTGAGGACATGAACACAATGCTCCCTGAGCCAGAGGCTTTCAACAAAGGGTGCGCTAGCTGTGAAATATGGAAAGCTGACTCGAGATTTGTAGCCATTATAAACGAGAATTCTTCTGCTGTATACTCTGTGGTCGGCTTAAGTATAAACGTTCCTGCATTGTTTACCTACATAGACACACAATTAAAAAATCAACACGATCTGGTTCTTGTACATCCCCAGCTCGAGGTGGAAGAGATTATATATACACTTACGAGGATATTGAGTTTTCCTTGGAAGAGAGAGGAAACGGTTTCGATGAGTTTCTCTCGTTGGTCACGCAGAGAAACGTCGCAGACAGAAGTGGTGACCTGAAACCCTTTTCCTTGCCATTCACGCAAACGTTCTTGAAGCTGAGTCTCGTCTCTGGCACATGTGTGGACTCTTGCTCCCAACATTGATAGTTCCTCCACCACAGCTTCCCTATTCAAGTATTCATGACACACACTAACATAGTTAGTTCTTCCATAATTGTAAATCACAGTAGAATAATAGAACATGTAAAATGGGGACTGACCCGATTCCTTTTGTGCCACCGGTCACAAGAGCAGTCATACCTTGAAGACTCCATCTTTTATCCATTTTTCTTGTATCTTACTTGAAGTGACCAGAAATGCCACAGATGTTGTATATACAAATGATTGTGGATCAGATAAGTGTGAACTTAATGAGTGTATTTGTATGTGTGGTGGAAATATTAAGCTAGTGGTCCTGACCAAAAATGACATTTTATTGTCAAAATCTTTGAGCAAAACTTACCTCTTTTTCTTTAAATGCACTCACAAAAAACAACTGAAACTAGAAGTCAGAATGATTAACAAAATTAGTATACAATACAAGTTTAGATAACAACATTTTAATCTGTTCCAAAAGTCTTAACAGAACAGAAGAGCAGAGATCCTTCGTCAATGTAATATTGAGATCTTTCATCTCCTTCATATAACTAATTTCCTTCAGGGTATTTTGTCATTCTACATGAACCACTTATAAAAGATAGTGAAAGTAACAGAATTAGCTTTGACTTTCTCAAGTTCTGCAGCATTTATATATATAGCTGGTTGATTTGAATCACACAGATTCCATCCCTGTAAGATTCTAAGGTATTGTTACTACTTACTAGGATTGAGTTAACAATTGAGCAAAGAAGCTGCTATATACAAAAGCAAAGTAGAGTTTTATGAAATAAGCCTCTCTGTTTCTATGCAAAGACACTGAAAGACCGAAAGGGTTCCAAAGGCGTGTAAGTTTGTTTCAAGTAAGAATCTATTTTGTCATAGAACATTTTGATGTATGAGAGACATTTTTGCCGGCCGTGTAATAATCTTCTATCGGAGCAAGATTAGCAATTCCACAATGTAATTGTGAACTAGTTCGTGCATAAACCAAAATCATAGCGTGAGAGTTTTTATTGAAGAGAGAACATTGAGCGTTTAGGACAAAAGGGGAAAACGTGACAAGGTCATTTCTCAAGCGTGTTGCTGATAGGAGAAGCCATTAACAGTGAGACCTCCATCAACACAAATGGTCTGACCAGTAATATATGAAGCAGCAGGTAGACATAGAAAAGCCACAAGTGATGCAACCTCTCTTGGCTCTCCAGCGCGACCAAGTGGAGTTCTACCGAACAACGCCTCCTTGAAACCGGCGTCATCAAGATACTACAAGAAACAAAATTGAGACATGATTAGAGGAATTGAGGTTGTTAAATTCACTAAAATATGTTTAAAGTTTTTTTTTTTTTTAAATATATTACAGCTTGAGCCAGAGCAGTGGTGATAAAATTAGGAGCAACAGCGTTGGCTCTTATGCCATCTGTTGCCCATTCACATGCCAAGTTTCTTGCTAGCTGATTCAAAGCTCCTGGACATATAAACATAACATATATATTGATTTAGTATTGCTATGATCTGCATGCATCAGATAATACTTAGGAAAGTCTATGTACCTTTGGTTAAACCATATATGGATCCACAGTCAATTGATACAACCCCTGCAATAGACGAAATGAAGACGATGTTTCCAGAGCCTGAAGCCTTTAAGAGAGGATGTGAAAGCTGGCTAAGATGATAAGCAGATTCTACATTTGTTGACACCTGGAAGGAGAAATCATCTTCCAGATATTCCGTTGTTGGCTTTGTGCGAATTACGCCAGCGTTGTTCACCTATGTTGAATCAAAAGAGTAAAACAACAATCTTGTTCACTGGTTAAATCTTAAAATCTAATCTTTTGCTTACAAGAATGTTAAGCTTGCCATCAAACAGCGAGGAGACGGTTTGCATGAGTGTTTCCCTCTCGGAACGAGAGGATACATTACAGATTGAACCACTCACTTGAAACCCTTTCTTTTCCCATTCTCTTAAACTTTGGTTGAGCAGTGTTTCAGATATGTCGCATACATGGACTTTGGCCCCAAAACCGGCTAGCTCCTCTACTATCGCATGCCTAAAACATTCCACACACATAAATTCCTTGGATATCAAATAGAAGTAGAAAACTGGGAATAAAGAGAAAGAAGACAAACCCGATTCCTCCCGCTCCACCAGTCACAAGAGCAGTCATACCTTGAAGACTCCATCTGCTGTTATCCATCTTTATCTATAACTTATAACTAACAAGAGCTTCTTCAGATTATATAGATCACTAAAACCTTACATGATTAAACATCCATAGGAATAAAAAACGTGATAAAACAACGACCAACTCTTGATGTGGTGACATTTGCATAGTTTGATTGACACGTAAAATACAGAAGAGACCACCCTTTGACACCAATGCTGAGGAAAAAAATCTCTCAACATCAATTCTGACAGTACCAAGAGAGCTTGTTCTTCCACTATGTATGCCTAGGATTTTTACCACTTTGTGTAAACTTCGCTTAATTAAGATTTGGACCAAAATTCTTCTTTAAATTTGTAGAGAAATCAAAGACCATTCGAATAATGCACATGAATAGTGCATTATTATAAAAATCTGCAGAAGCAAGTAATTAATTATTCCAGGGATTTCAAATTAAAGCAGACACTGCCTCACAACATTATGAGACACCAAATCTCACCATTAGGTATTGGCCAAAGTGGATAATTTATTCAGATATTGAACTCTCATTCACCGCAAGCATAAGTATGTAAGAATCTTCAAGAAACAAAACATAGACGAAAAAAAGACTCAATCCCACTTATCCAAACTACATTTATAACATATTGACCACTACTTTTGGACCGCCAAGATATTTTTAAACGACTCGAAGATCTAGATATTGAAATTATGATTTATGTACCATGCATACATGTGATTTAAGGCAGAGGCCTGAAGGAGAAACCGTTGACTATAGCACCTCCGTCAACGCAGATTGTCTGACCTGTTATATAAGCTGCAGGAAGACATAGCAGTGAGACTTCCTTTGCTTCAGGGATTATTTTCACAATACAATAAAAGAGCATGAAAATGGAAGCTAAGATTCCCAATAGGGACTGACCCGATACTTTTACGATCAGTGACAAGAGCGGTCATTCCTTGAAGACTCCACCTCTTATACATTACTGTGTTTGACACTGCAGCCCGAGACACACTGAGATAATAAACCAAAACTTAAGCAGTGAGCAATTCATAGTTAGCCAAGAGTTTTCTGAAACATACCGTTGAAGATGATTTAGGGAGATAAGAGACAAAGCTTGACCTCCTTTTTTCTGTAGCCAGGAACCGATAGCAACCATGCAAGTGAGCACCAGAGCTGTGGAAACAATTTGAGCTCAGATTTTCCCTTATATAGCTTTTATTTTCGTAGAACAAAAGTAATATCTACGGTCTTCAAGGTTCATGCACTCCAAGACACCCTCAACCACTTGATTCACCTTTAAATAAAACTTACTACTTACCAAAAAAATCATGATGATGTTTCATGTATATCATTGGCTTTGTTAAAAGTATGCCAGCAATGTTTCTAAATTGGGAAAGGAGAACCAGTTACACATTTAACTAAAGGTTTGCGTAAAGTAGGCACCAAACTCATGTCTCTGATTTAGCTTCCTCTGTATAGCCTAGTGATGATGTGAATCTTGCATATGGTTACTTGCAAGGATGATGAGTGTGCCAGGAATTGAATGGATAGGGACAATCTCCGTCAGTTTTCACTCTGAGGTCAAGTCACAGACTTTATTCTATCCACATCGAACATACAAAATCGGGTTCTCGACATGAGTGTATTCTTCCCCAAAAACTATCTAGTTCCTTCATTATGGCATTTCTAAACACTCCACGTGTATGCGGATAATACTATCCAGTAAATTGTAGCTGAGTTAGGATTCCAAGTTTCAAACCTTTTTTGTACCTAGAGAAAAGAGGAAAATACAACAGAAGTGCTTCTCAAAATCCAACTAGCTTTCATTGTTCACTTCACCGTGGGTGCATGTCTTTGATAAGAACCTCGTTAATTCCTCAATGAGATCGAATTACAATGCCTAGAATCAAGAATTATTTGAGATAAACCACAACTGTCCCTAAAAACAAACCAAAACCTAGAGATTCCATAATGCCTCAAACATTGTACTGAAAAGTACTTTAAAAGATAATGCCTCAAGGCCCTCAACTGTCCCTCTCAGTCTTATACTGACATTTATGACTAAAAGATAGGATTCTAATCAAATGATAAACCAATCCAATATCGAAAAAATTGAATTTCACTGACCATAAGAGAATATATTCAGATATTAATTCCCATCGATATTTAAAAAAAAAAATATGAGTCTCCTAATCACTTCTGACATTAAACAAAAGTAGAACTAAATGCCGTAAGAAATTCACAGGGAAGAAGGAGACTGACCCAATCTCACAGGCTCCATCAAATACAAGGGAAGTAATTCATTGAAGACTCCTCCTGTTGTCTCTGGAACCTCCCTCTTTCTCGGTCGTTCTTGCATATGAGTGCAGGTTCAGGACACAGTGAAAGCAAAACCAAAAAGATGACACCAAATACAAGCCAATGAACACTCATTGAGGAAACATTAAGTCTTTGTTATCACAAAAGTCATAACATGAAAAGTTCCTCAGCACCTTTCCATCACATACACAATCAAGATAATAAGTAATAGATATGGGAAACTTAATCACGCTAACTGATGCTAAATTATCCTTTTCATTAACAGTAGACTTTTTAACACAACTAAAATTCTCATGTAAGTAGAAGGCAGAAAGCTGTTTAGTATCAATCGACGAATTGCTTTCACAGGAGAAATGAGATATACTACAGATCAAACAACGGATCCCAAGGAAACTAGTAAAACGACAGAGTGGCCTACTCATGTTGTGGGAAGAAACCGTTTATTGACATTCCTCCATCAACATAAATAATCTGCCCTGTAATATATGATGATGCAGGTAGGCATAAAAAAGCCACTGCAGAAGACACCTCTCTCGGTTCGCCAAGCCGACCAAGAGGAGTTACTGAGTAGACTTCTTCTAGGTAGTCTTCGTTGCTAAGGACCTGAGACCAAAAGACAAGAATCATCTTAACTAAGATACAAACAAATGAGCTTACTCTTTATCATTTTAATTTTCAGCTTCAAGAGATTAATATTTAATTGCAAGGTATAGATAAAGCTTATGAGACCATAGAAAATTACTTGCTCTACCATCGATGTTTTGATATACCATGGTGCAACAGCATTGACCCTTATATTGTCCTTAGCCCACTCGCAAGCCAGACTTCTCGTAAGTTGATTAATTGCTCCTAAAACACAAAGGCCAACGAAAAGAACCAAAGTTTATCGATTGCTTGCTCCTTATAGTTTCTAAGACATTTTGGTATAACCTGAATGAACGAATGCTGCATAAGAGGAGATACCTACCTTTGGTTGCAGATTGAACCGACATATTCTTGAGTGAGACAAAACCAGAAACAGAAGAGATGGATACAACACTGCCAGCCTCAGATGCTCTAAGTAACGGATAAGCAAGCTGACATAAATGGAAAACCGATTCGAAATTCGTCGACATGAGAGTCGAAAATTCTCCAGCCGTAAACTCTACCATTGGTTTCCTAATGTTCGTCCCAACATTGTTTACCTAAAAAGCATCAAAATTTAAAGACAAGATTACACAAGAAAGAAAGTTATTTTCTACAATTGTTCTCACAGACAAACCAACGAACACTTTATGTGCATTAACCCTTACAAGGATATGAAGCTTCCCGTCAAAGACAGATGATACAGTCTCCATCAAATCCTCTCTCTGAGATTGATCAGAGACATCGCAGACGGATCCCGCAACTCTGAGACCATAACGGTTCCAATCACTCAAACAATTCTCCAGCTCGTTCTCATTTCGAGCGCAAGTGTGAACCTTTGCTCCAAGACCAGCCAATTCCTCCACAATCGCACGCCTGTTTACTTAAACAGTAACACACACTAGTCTGAGAATTTGCGTTTGATAAAGGCTCATACTTTTTGAAATTGGAAAGATGTGAAGAGGGACAAACCCGATTCCGCGAGTGCCGCCGGTGACAAGAGCAGACAATCCATTGAGAGACCATCTTTCGTTGGAAGTAATGGCAATGGAGCTCTGTGATGCGCAAGGGACGAAGACGGAGGAGGATGAGGATTTGGGTTGTGGGTTTATGCGTTTGAAAGAGAGGTATAAGTGAGGTTTAAGGGAAGAAGAAGAAGAAGAAGGAAGAAAGTGAAGGTTTTGAGGTGGATTTATGTACAAGTGAGAAGCCATGTCAAGCACCACCATTGATGGCTTATGTTTCAGCTTACCAAGTGTTCTTTTTTTTTTTTTTTTTTTTATCATCACTTACCAAGTGTTCACCATTATGGTTTTTTTGTTTTTTTAAAATGCAACGTTTCATAGAGGTAGTCAGGTAGACGCTCAACATTAGGGTGTCAAAATGGGTTAATATCCATTGGTTACCCGAACCCGCCCATAATTTTAGTAGGTTTGGGTAGAATTTTTTTACCCATATATATAAATGGGTTTTAGTGGGTTATCTTATTAGGGTTATGGGTTTAATGGGTAAAACCCATTAGGATCATGGGTTACCCATGGGTTTCATAACCAAAACTAAAAAGTAAAATTTATATATATCTATATTGATATATTATGTAAAATTTATATAAATATATGTAAAATATCTTCTTTTCTTTACAACTATATATGTAAAATATCTAAAATAACTATTAAAGTTTACATTTTACCTAAAAATAAAAGTAAAAAGTAAAATATATGTATAATATTATTTTAATTTATTTATTATTAAAAGTAAAAAGTAAAATATATGTAAAATATATGTAAAATAAAAGTAAAAAGTAAAATAACTAGATTTTTTTAATTTATTATTTAAAAACTTTTGTTGGTTTACAATTTTATGTTATTTTTTTTTTGGAGTTTTATTATTTATATATTTTATTATACATATATATATATGGGTACCCATATAACCCATTAAGCCAATGGATTTCTACAATAATGGGTTTGGGTATGTAAATTCAACCCATATAAATATATGGGTCGGGTCAAACCCGTCCATTAAACACTCGAACCCATATGGGTTTGGGTCGGGTCGGGTCGGGTTACCCATTTTGACACCCCTACTCAACATTTATTTTAGAACTACATTTTTAATCCGTGGGACCTCTTTTTTTCTTTACGATATCTTCTTAAAATTTAATGATTATGTATTATATATAAAATTTTGTAAATTATATCATTTTATAAGATATTTATAGTAAAACTTCTATAAATTAATATTATATATTTTATAGCTTACAATTGTTATTAAGTAATGGTATACCATATGCCAGACCACAATTTTTTTTATATACAATCTTATCTAAATCAGACTGATTCGATATATCTAATATTGGTGGTGTTAAAAAATAATAAATGAGGATTTAACCTGCATTGTAGCGGATTAATGATATTTTAAATTTTTATTAATATTGATTCAAACCCGTCCCGCCATATAACTCCGACTCGCATTATAATCTGTCTCGTGTTATTTTATTTTTTATACGTTCAAATATTCATAATATTCTAAAAAATCTATGAATTTTAAATATATCAATTATAATATTTTAAAAATTTTAAAAGTTTAAAATTTAAAATTTCCAGTAAAATTAAACCATTGAACTAAAAACAGAATTAAACCGTATACAAACTTTTAAATTTGGATGTTTGTTAGGTTAAGCATCATGCTCATTCGAATTTTGATTCATTTTGATCCTATTTATAATATGACTTATAATCATTGTCTAAACATTTTAGGTATGTGGGACATTGAGTACACATATTTTTTATTAATTAGGTAATATATGTCCGTTTTTTAAATTTCGAATTACAATATATGCAGAAAAAATTTAAGATTTTTTTTTGACTTTATGTATTGTATGATGATACAAAACAGTTAAAAATAAATCAAACAAAGATGATAGGAAATTTATAATTTTAAATCTTAACCAAATCTTTAAATATTTATATTATTAAATATGGAATATCCGATTGATAAGTTTGGATATGTTTTGACCCGATCCAAGTTAAATATGGAATATCCGAGTCGGGTACCAAATTTTTTGGATCATAATTTAACCCATCCGCTAACAAATGTATTTCAAAATTACTATAGAGATTTTATAATGTTCAAAGTTCTTTCTCTTTATGCTTTGGGCGTCTACCTCTATGAAATACCGTTTTCAAACAAAAATAATAATAATACTTTAATATAAGTTAAAAGATAGGGTTGTATTTACATGTTTTCACCATCGAACACATGGTCTATGGAAATAATCGATTCTAAAACCAGTGTTTTTCCATTCAAATGAAGAATATACAGAGAAGCAACAAATACGTAATTGTCAACATATATGAAAACAATGTCTAAGAACTAAACAACAATTAACCGACTAGTCGTGAAACCATCTATAGGTCTATACCACAAAAACATTTGATGGTTCTCTCACTAGCTTCTTAACTTCAACATGCTTACTCTATTGGATCTCAAGTCCAAAACACAAGCATAAGAGTAAATATGTATCAACATTTCAGAAATAGAAGAAGAGTGAAGCTGCCTCATGGGTCCCTCTTCTTGTACGCCTGCTTTGGGGTGACAGCTGAGTTGGAATGCTGCTTCTTTTTCTATTTTTTTTGGTCTTTGATATACTGGGATCTTGCCAACTTATGCCTACTAACATCAATAGCCGAAACATCTCCATCCGGTGATGAAAACTCCCACAAGAGTAAAATAAAAACAGAAATCAAGAGTAAAACTCCTACATACAAGATATACCGTTCTCAAACAAAAATAATAATAATACTTTAATATAAGTTAATTATATTTATCGTAGACTTGGATCAAATAAATTCACTTTCAGTATATGGCATACAGTTTCAATACGGTAGATTAAAGTGGAAAATAGGGAGATAATTGCGTTTGTGAAGAACGGTCGCGGTCAATGGAGATAGCGGTTATCTCAAGCACGGTCACTTTCAGTGCATGGCATACATTTTTAATACGGTATATTAAAGTGGAAAATGGAGAGATAATTGCGTTTGTGAAAAACAGTCACGGTCTCAAGAGTGGAGATAGTGGTTATATCAAAGTATCTATGGACGTGATATTATTGAAGTTGAAGACACACTGATATGTTGTGTTTTTATCGGTTTTGAGTCTTTGTTTTCTTTCCTAGATCATATATTTTATAGAGTCAAAGTTTTTTTTTAGAGTCTTTTAGTCCTTTATCGAGTCTCTACAGGTTTTAGGTTGCTTCGGAGGAAAAA